TTCACGCATATCTGATATTCGTTCTGAATTTACTTTGGGGTTCTCGCGGCAGTAAACCCATTAGGTTCTACTGCACTGGGAGTATGAGCACGTTCCGCTAGAGTTTTCCAGATGTTTTATGACACTAGTACAAATAATTATGAGCAGGAAAGTTTTGAAGTCTTAAATACAATTTTCATGACATTACTTGTCAGATATTTTATTGCCTTATTAAACGGAGTCTCTTATTCTCAAACAAGTGTAAACATAAAAATCATATTATATATGCTCACGGATTAGACTGACGTATATATCGGCGGCGACATCAACGCATAATACAAATAGCGGCGGCTCTAACGCATAGTATGATAGCACCTACTCATTATACAACGAAAAGGATATACACTCATCAACACGTAACAATATAGAAGAAACTTCATATATTTAATTCAATCATACCATTATTCATATACTTCATGATCATTAATTATTTATTATATTATTATATTTAATAAAAGGAAAGATAATAAGTACTACAAGGAGTCTTGAATAATTGCATTGTCCCTTCCTCTTGCCAGCAATACCTCCACCCAACATCCAACGGAGGTTTTCAGTCTGATCCCAGATAATAGTAAAAAATAATCGAACCAAACCGAATCAAATCCTTTCTTGAAACAAGTAGAATATGCTGTTTTGATTTCATAAAGTAGAATTTTGTAAGATACCTAAATCTGGATGCATAATAATCTTATTTTGAAACTTCCTTTGGTGAGTAAATTTAGTCGATTCTCTTAGTTATATGTGGCAAAGTTTAGATAAAAGTAAGAGTTCAATATATTTATATATACTTGATAAAAACATTTTCTTATTTAATTGTTTCATCTACATTCATTATATTAAATATTTATTGAAACGGATTATTATAAATATTTTTTTTTTTTAATAAATAACATTTGTATTATAAAATATATTAATTTTACTATAACAATATAAAATATTAATTTTTAATGTAAGAAATAAAACATTAATAACATTCCCTTGAAATAATTCAAAACAAGCTTATCTTAGTTTGTTCGAGATTACGAGAACTTTCTGCGTGTGTCAGACATCTGGAAAGACTCAAGTCGTTAAAGATCTGCGAAAAACCTATTTCATTAAACATCTTGAAATAGTCGCTACACCCAAAATTAAAAATCTAACGGTACACAACCTTACCCACTGATCTCAAGTTTAGCCATACTGTCGCTTGGATAAAGCAAGTGAGGGCGCTTGAGTCAGGGATTCCCCTTGCGGGAAAGTTACGAGAAGACTACTCTCTCTGATTGAAGGCGTAGCCGCTGTCAAGACCAAACTCTTTCTGAAGACGGAAGACACATGCGCGCTCGCTCGGACGTGCCGCCGAAGGCGAGATACTCTAATTGGAGACGCCTAAGACAGCGGAACGCTCTGATTGGAGAAACCTAAGGCGGAGGCGTTCTCTAAGCAGGGACGTTTGGTCAGAGGCTTTATAAGTGGGAACGATACAGGCACAAGCGCTGTCTAAGTGGAGAAGCCAAGGAAGAAGAAGGGAGGCCCTTACTGTTGATACTGTAGTGATCAAGCTGTAAGTATGTCTACGATAGAAGAAAAATGCATCAATTCTCCTATGCAGCAAATAAAATGTGTTGACACTATCTCCTTCATATCAAGAAAACGTTAGACTACACAAGACATACTCAATAATAAGGAGCGTGTTTAAACATTACTGATACTTGCAAAATCAGCAAGAACAATTCATCACCATCTTCCAAGGAGCATCTCGAGTAGATAAGTTATTCAATACAAGATCAGTTCGAAGCAACTGCATACTGTATTTCTATAATCATTCCACTTAACTCCTTTCCAAGCACCCGCTAAGGCAGACGATAAATTAAAGCTATCGAAACATTGGCAGTTCAAGTCAAGAAATCAAATAGTTTCGAACATAGTTAATACTTATTTCTTATTAATACAACAAAAATAAATATTTCTAGTCCAAAGCATAACCAATTATGGCACAAGTATACAAAATGTAATTAGACTTTTTCATATTATGCATAGATGTAAGTCAAATATGCAGTGTCAAAACGGGTTTGAGATCATTTTTATTTGTAAAAAACTGTTTTTTTATAAAAATATTTTCATTTTCTATTTATTTAAGTTGAATAAATTTGAATAGAATTGCTTTGCAGAAGTGTAAAACAAAAAAGATGTTGATTATTAAAAAGATATTTAATACTAAAGAATTATTATATTTAGTATATTAGTATATTATAAGAAAAATATTATAAAAATATTTTAGATGTAAACATGATCGTAAAAATTATCTTATCAAAATATGACTATATAATTGCTTGCACATTATTTAATAAAGAAAATTTTTTATCTTATTTAATTCTTGCAAATGAAAAAATTTGTATAATTATAATTATTCATTTTATTGTAAAGAAACAAACCTATTAATATCACAAGCGTCAAGAAACGGTTTGAGGCAAGGTTCATTTTGGTCATGTTCCAATCCATAGAGTTCTAATAAAGAAATTTTACCATTGTTATCAGTATCTAAATGTCCAAACATCCATTGCACCTCGGTTTGACAACCAATTGGAAAGTGACCTGGCAATTAGAAGTTATTCTTCATGTTTATAAAATTTGTATGGAATTATTTATATTGACAATTATTACTCCTTTGATAAAGAGTATTTATTATATTTATTAACATATAAGAAACAAAATAGTAAGAATGATGATATACGTAAATAATATATTTTAACATTTTATATTCAACAATTTTAAAATCACTTACATTTTTCTTGACTACGTCTTAATTATGATATTTTTAAAATGTCAATTGCAATTACAATTACAAAATATAGTTTAATATTGTCTAAAAGTAATAAAGATACAATTCTACAGTATTTATCTATATAATTTTATACATATTGTTCGGAATTCCAGTTACCCGGTGGCCGAATGACCAAGATGGTTGGATTAGATCACGTCCACCATTTTACTGGTGGAACCGTGTGAATAAGTGAGAGGTTAATGCTTCAATTTAGTAATCAACACAATGGTTTTTCGTACTATTATGGAGTTTTATTTTACAAATACACAATTATGATTTTACCTTGTTGATGAGAAACGTTGACATTTTGCCGTTTCTAAGTGGTTTACACGTTGAGGTAGCAAGTACTACAAGTTGAGGTTGAAGGTTGTAAATCTCCGGGTCCTTTTGGTGTAGTACGCTTGGTGGAAATATAATTAATTTAAATGCAGTAATGTAGCGGCGTTTTGTCTTGGAGCAGATGTAGCAAAGAAGTTTTGGCGCCTTGATGCAGAGTGGAGAAATTGTATGTAGTGATGTCTTGATACAGATTTAGTACAGAAGTGTTGCTGTCTTCATCCAGAATGCAGTTGTAATATGTAGCGACGTCTTGTAGTACAATGTATTTCCTCCTAGATAGCTCAAACAATTAAGTGAGCTTCGACGCGTCGTTGCTTTAAATATTCGAACGAGTTTGATTATCTGGCAACAATAGACAGGTACTACTATGCGGAGAATTGTACAGGACTTCGAGACTAAGGCTCTAGACGTTTCAAGAATTCTCGGAAAGTAAGCTTTAGATGGTTGGAGAATTCCAACCGTCATTGCTATGCGAAGATTACATAAACAGTACCAGACGTTTGCAAGCTAAGGCTTTAGAATAATCGAGGAATTTTTTAATCAATATTTACGATTTTGCGAGCTATAACGATTATGATTTTCGGAGAATGAAATTTCTTGGAACGTGCTCCAATCCTGAACCCATATAATTAATTTTGTTTTTCATTATATTACATATAATCTAGTAATTGGCTCTTTATAGTTTATTATATAGGTAGAATTAAAAAATGAAAAGTAATTAAAAATACTAAGTAATCAATTAAGGGCATATTTAATTCATAATTTGTTACAAATTAATTTTTAGAAAAACTTTTCTCAATTCATTATATTAAAAATCAAACCATTTCATTTATTATTTACTTATATATATTTATTTTATATTATAATATAATATATATTATATTATATAAATTATATTATTAATTATAAACATTTATTATCAAAAAAGTTTTTAAATAATTATTGGAATATTATTGATATAAACCAAAGTTTATTATTAAAGATATGTGTTACGGATTGAAGCAGTTGAAAGCGGAATACAAAAGTGGGAGAGGTATGAGCTCCCGGACAGTTGTTTATAAACACTAGCCAGCGAACTCGAGAATTGTTTCTACGCCGAAAAATCGAATATACAATTATAATTCCGAAAAGTAATGCCAATGAACCTTGCAAGGCTTTGTCCTATTGACGTCACAACAAATATCGGCATAGCAACAGACACTGGATTGCTACCGGCGTCTAAAACTACCACGAGAATATTTAAGGGTTGAATCTAGTAACAATTACGCAGTCATCATGACGGGCTTACTATTCAATCATCAAGCTGCTCTCTACAGTCATCACTCATTGTAGCAATACACGTACATAATATTCAAACAATAAGCAATCTAACAATCCAATAGTGATGCCATACTATCAGAATCCATTAACTAAACTTAAACTAATAATGCGATAGTGCAAACATAATCGAAAGTAAAATTATCGAAATCATACTACAAGTTTTAACGGATCACACCGATGATTAAGGCAGCAACAAATCGGTCTCCTTTAGAAAGCTTCGGTAACAGCGGCACTTCTCGGAAGGGAAGGAGTCACTCCTAAAATTACAGAGAGTATACACACTCTCCTTAGCACGTAACACAATTGAAGAAACTTCATCAAATTATTCATTCATTCCATCATCCATACACTATGCCCATTGTCTATTATATTATTGTATTTAATAAAAGAAAGCAAAGAAACACTACGTGTAGAATTGAATAATTGCATTGCCCCTTCCAGTTGCCAGCAACACCTCCACCTAACATCAATAGGAGGTTTTTAGTTTGATCCCAGACAATATGAAAATTTTTTCTTTTTTAAATCAATATAAGAACATATTGAAACAGAAGGGTTTTTTAAACTTAAAGAAAATTCAAATGTAATATAAATACCTTTAATAATAATAATAAAGAAATTATTTTAGTACATATATATTTTGTTTTAAAACTAATCCTACTTGGTAACATATTAGAATTCTTTTAAACCAAGATTTTTTATTTTACAATCTAGACTTATAATCTATACTTCTAAATGTGAATGTAACGTATGAGAGAGGTACCCTTCGCGGCTTGGTGTTTATCGCACAATGAGAGGTGGTCTTCGCGGCTAGGTGCTTATCACGCAATTAGTTTTGCCGGATTTTGTGATGAGTGCTTAGATATTGCGCTTCTTATAGTCGTGTTCATTTTTATAATGCAATCAGCACTCTTGACTGCTTTAAATTATTGCGCACTTGAGGGTTGAACTGCTATTAAATATAATGGCTTTACTGTATTGGCATTGTATTCACTGTAACTAGCTTATAGCTGTAGTCTGACTGAATTATGTAAATATGAGTGTAACTGAATGACTGGTGTATGGCGGAAAACACTGGCTGAATAGTGCAATTACTGATAACTGATAGACTGAGTAATTTAGAATGAGTGTCTAGGCGCAGTGTGCTGCCCTTGAATATCCGCACGGCAGTTTACCTAGCTGGCAATAAGGCATCGTTGTTGCTATACTGGAATCTTGCACGAGGCGCATAAGAAAACTCTAGAGGATTCGAGAATTCTAAGAAAAAATATGGCTCAAGAAATTTGGAGAATTTCAAGCGACGTTACTACTTGAAGACCATATAAACATTGTAGGCCATTTCAAACCAAAACAGAATAAGTACACGAACATTCTCGTACCCAAGTGTTTTCAGAAACTTGAGAGCTAGAGGGACTAGAAATACCGAGAGTCAACGATCTTGGAAATTGCTTCAATCCCGAACACTGATCCTATTTCTACGGAATTATTTCTTTTCTTATAATTTGGTTATTTCCATCAGAGCTACTTTTTATCTATTATTAATATTATATTTTCAATACAATCGCGACATAAAGGCTAGAATTTGATCTAAACGTCGTACTCATATAAGAGATATTTTGATACACTAAACTTAAAACCTAACTAATTACTATTTTGAAATTTAGTAAGGTGATGCGAGTTTCCTATTTACTTAATTAAAATTTAACATCAACTAATTTTAACTGCAAATACGATCAAATTTTAAAAGGAAATTAGGCTGTTTAATCTTTATTCTTTATCTAATATTATAAATACTTTATAATAGAATTTTAATTAGCTGCTATTAAGTTATGTAAATGAGGGATAGAATTACTAAATTAATTTTTAGTTAATTAAATATTAGTTTTCACATACAGTTCTCCTAAAATTTTGGATATTTGGTAATAAATAAAAAATGTATCAAACATGATAAATTAAAATACAAATTTTTATTAAAGAATACATGTAATTTACTGTTTTAATTAAAATATTTTTAAATAATTGTACCATTATGTATCAAATACAATGTTGCTATGTTATTCATTCTTAAAGAAAATATTAAATCAGGGTAGATTCAGAGCAAAGCTTAAATAAGTGTAGTTAAGACAAATTGTAATGGGGTAAACCAATTCATTGCACATCGCAATAAATATATAACAATTTCCGTTATTCATAAAAGAATCGAGATATGACAAAATTAATTATTATTTATTTCAGGTAGACATCGCTAAATAATTTGATTATTATAACTAAATTATCATAACTACATTATCATATATATATATATATATATATATATATGTATGTATGTATGTATTATTATCCAATTAGCAATTATTTTATTAATTTCAAGTACTAAAACTACTTAATTTTTGTAAATAAAAGATATTTTATATTTTGTTAATAAAAGGAGTGCACTGTAAAAATAAAATCTTAGTTTATAAAATGTTAACAAAGCAAAAATATTCACGAATAAAATAATGTTTGTTCATACAAAATAATCAATTTATTAAAAAATTAATTTTTTTTTAATTTTAAAGAAGAATATCGGAAATATAACTATTAGGAAAAGTTTTATACCTTTAGATTTTGAACGTTGTTGTTGATGTTTCGAGTCCGCTATAACAACAGAGAACCAATCAAGAAGGCGATTGGCCATTGCTGGTTTAGATGATGACGGACATTCTTTACTATTTTGTGGCAGTCGGTTTGATTGCAGTGGTAAATTTTGTTTCTTCATAATCTTATCCACCAAATATTTTGCATTATACTTATGATCCTATATATTATCAAATATGGCTAGATATAGTATAGATGGATTAATTTTATTTTGTTTATGATATGTAATCTTTAAATAAAATTTCTAGTTTTTTTTATAGTGCATTCTATATTAAAAGATTACCTATCCTATTATTGAATGCAATCTTTGCCGTTTTCACATTTCTCTTTTAGTTATATCCTGACAAATATTCTTAATTGAATAAAATGGATTTTAATTTAATTTTATCATTAAAACAAGAATATACAATATAATTATAACGAATGTAAAAAGCACTTAGAAAAGAAATGTTCTTTTAAAATTAGGCTTCAATATCAAATGCTATATAAAGTTACTTCTATATTTCCATGATACTGATTTAGAAGTGTTTTAAAGTTAAAAAAATATCACGACAAATCGTGAAGAAACTAATAAAGAATGGTAAAAGATACTTGTTCTCCCTATATAAATTGATATATTTATATAATATTTTTCATATATTATCTTTTCAACTTTGTTATTTCGCATATATTAAATAATTTGAGACAATTTTACTAGTAAACACTTTTTAAACAAAAAAATTGATGCATGAAGAGATTTTTTTATTTCAAGAAAAAAAATGAACTCCACATAAATTTTAACCATTTACTTATATTAAATCGACAAGAAAAATAAGGGTAAAACTATTTCTGATAATTAGTTATTATCAAACTGACTGACTCAATATTAGTATTAAATTTTATTCATTTGTCGTTATGTATGAATTATAAATGTTTTATTTATTCCGCTGCATATGACAAAGAGTTCCAAAGAGAAAAGACTGAATATAAAAGGCACAAGTAGTTTAAATGAATAAAATCATGTACAGAAAACATTTCTATAAAGTTAAGAATTAAAAATAATATTTTTATACATCTTTACAGTGAGCAAAACTTCGTGAATGTAATGAGTTGAATATATGCTAATATATAGATTTAATTAATGATGTTGGTTAATTACTGTTTATACTTCTTTTGCGTAGAGGGAGAGAGAGATAGAGAGAGAGAGCGCGTAAAGATATCTAACGATGGTCTTAAGTTTGATATTCTTAATACGTAAAAAAAATCATAAAATTGAAACATGCATAGTTTATTAGGGAGTAAAAATGATAATGAAATATACATAATTTTATATAATAACGAAGAAAGATATCAACGAGTTCTGAATACAAAACTTACTCATGCTTCGCGGAAAATATTTGAGGCAAATTTAAGCCCATATGAAACGCTATGTATAAATTATTTCGATGTTTGATTGTATAAGTAATAAACAGAAAATTTAATACAAAATTAAGTGAATTAGATAGATTTATATGACAAAAATTGAAGAATGAGACAAAAAATATGTCGGAAAATTAGAGATGAATATTCAAGACGAAAATAGTGTAAATGAGATAGATGACATGATATACATGATAGAGATAACTGGTTCAACTTAGTGAAATATGCGAATTAAACATCTATTACAAACGATTACAGTAAAGAAGGCAGGTTGATCACGTCCAGTACATAATCAGTAAACAATGGAATTGGTAAGGTCATAAAAATAAATCTGAAATCAAATAGATAAATTAATTTGAAACCTTAAGCAATGCGTAATCGAACTTAAACACTTACATCGATGAAGCTAGATCTATTATTACATTCAATATCTGCTTCTAGTGACACTCTATTAATAAGAGATGTTAGCAAGCATAAACAGTTAATTAACAAAAGCCATTTCGTTATACAAATACCTGCAATATGTTGGTATTGTAAAAAACAATAGTTTAAAATATCTAGATTTTCTTAATAAAATCAGAAGGCACATATACGAAACATCAATTGGGAATCATAATTGAGAGAACTTCCAATATACAAGATCAAATTATAATAAAAAAAAACAACGTAACATCCATAAATGAAAATATAATAGTTTTTTATAATTATTAATCATTTCTATAAAAGTTTGAACAAACTAAATAATTATAATTTTTTGTATATTCATCACTTATAAATCATAAATTTTTTATTTTTTATGGCTTACAACTTGAAAAACTAATGTTGCTAATAATTAAATCAATCAAAAATAGTACTATAACACATAAAAATATACTAATAATATTTTACATTATTTTCGTTACGAGTAATAGTTTTGTTTTTCTCTAATTAAAACTATTTTTAGTAAAACTAAAAAAAGAGTGAATAAAATATAATATAGTACAAAATTTTTTTACCTTGTTTCCTTTTGAATATTTGACATATTGGTAGTGATGATTATCATAATTAAAATTTTTTGGAGTAAAAGTTAATTTATAACTTTTCTTGCTTTGATGTTGAAGTTGTAATCTTCTTAAATGCATATGTTTTGAATCTAGCATAATAAAAATATATAGAAATTTCATTTAAGTATATATTTTAGAATATGTTAATTATAAAATGAATTTTTTCATACTATCGTATTAACGTGAACGTAAAAAACCATGGTGATTATAATCAAATGATTATTTACAAAATATATGGCATAAAATTTATTTTTATAAAATTAAGTATAATATTTTCAATATAATAATGAAATTAAGATTTCTTTAATGAATAATAATCCGTTAAGAAAAATAATCCGTAAAAAAGATAGCAAAGAAAAGTTTTTAAATTTATAAATTAAATTTTTATAAATAGTATAGATTGAAAATCTATTGATCCAACCTTTTTATTTTTCTATAAATATAAGTTTTTTATTATAATGATGATATCGAACTTAGAATTTACATACTAAAGATCTTCACATATTAATGATTGGTAGAATTACAGTGAGATATAACTGATGACTGAGTAGATAGTAAAAACACAATGAGCCCGGTGCGTGGCGACTGAGTAGATATTAAGGGTACAGTGAGCCCGGTGCGTGGCGAGCTGCTCTTAAATCTTCACGTAACTTAAATATTAACGTAAAGAAATTTCCCGAATTCGCTGAATTGTGTTTATAACTTGCAGGTATTTCTACCTCTTCCACTTTTGTATTCCGCCGTTAATTGCTTCAATCCGTAACAGTTATAAATAAAGAAATTTTAACATAAAATTACTTATAAAAGTTACAAGTTGTTTAAAACTATTTTTCGGCAGTTGGAATGAAATATAATATTAAAAAGAAAATAAAGTAGATATTTTGAATATTATATTTTGAATATTGAAATACATGTTATTACTTACCTTTGCAAGGACAGAAATTCATACAATTTATGCGAACATTAGAACGATGAATACAATTGTGATATTCTAAGCGGCATATGGAACTATACGTTCTATTATCACTACCGCAAAAGAATACTGGATTTGAAACTGGACACTGTTGGCACCTAAAATATATACAATTTCTTAAAATATTTATAATTATTCGATATGTTAATCATGTTTTTTACAAATAATATTGATATGATACATAAATTAACAAATTAACAAAATAACAATACATAAATTTATATTATCTTGATTTTTATAATAAATTTTTATTGCTCTAAATAGAATAACATTAATTATTGTTATATACAAAAGTAATATAGCGAATACAAAAGTAAATTTTACATATAAATATTTAAAAAAGCCTCTATCTTTAAACAATGCCTAAATATATTTCTATATAATTATACCGTGCAGAACGTTTTTATTTATCATTTTTGAGATAACAAATTTCTTTAAAACTAATAAATTCTAATGTTTATCTATTAAATTTTAAGTGTAAAAGAGTAAGATGGAGGAATGTAAATATAAATAGATGATTATTATTTAATTTCCAGAATTATAAAGACTGAAACAAAACAAGAATTAATTATTTCATAAGATCTATGTTCAACATAATCACACATTTATACTATAGTAGTATTTTCTGTACAATTGAAAGATATTCATAATTGTATTAGAATAGTATTGAAAATTGGTTGTGATAATATTTTCAAAAAGTTCTAGTATTATAATTACTGTCGATGTTTCTAAAATCATTTTACGTAATATTTCCATAGGATAATTACAAAGAATTCTTATTTCTGAAAAGTATGACATATAGACAAACATATTTTATATTTTTCTTATACTTATTAATGTTCCTTACAATTGTAAGGAATGGAATTATTATTCAATAAATATCGATGAAAAGTCGTAAAAAAAATTCATTCTCTTAAATTTGCATTAATTCATAGAATTGAGGGCTCATTGATTAGATGTATAAGTATTACTAAAAAGCGTAAAGATCATAGTTATTACAATGAATAATATATCTTCTAATGGTATATCTCTGTACATAGACAAAAGTATAAAAGAAGAGAAAGAATATAGAATATTAACTATTTTTTAGGCTAAAAAATCTAAAAATACTAGATTAAATTATTTAAAATATTAACAATATTAAATATTGTAATTATTCAATTATGGAATTGACAACTATTTTTAATATTGTAAAAAGGTAAAACAAAAAATAAAAAAAGTAATTTATAAATAGCTTTTATAAAGACTAAAATCGTTTCTGTTTTTCTTCGAAAAAAATTACAAGTTGTTGAAAATATTTATATTTAAGAAAATACGGACTAATACATAAGGGACTGTTTGCAATTCCAGCCATCCGGATGGTCAGGAGACCAAGGTGGTTGGATTAGACCATACCACCGGTTTAATGGTGGAAAGGGGGGTGAGTGAGAGGCTAATGCATCAATTCAGTATAAGCACAATTGGTTTCAGTGACTTTTATTTAAGGTTATGTTACAATTGATCAATGTTTTCACCAGTAGTTGTGAGGATTGTTGAGCTTGTAGTGATGCTGACAGTTGACAGAGAAATTACAGAGTGTCGTCCGGGTGTGCAAGGTGAGACTGGTCTTATTTGCGGGCGTATTGCAATCGTAGCGCCCTTGTGGTAGTAGTATGGAAATTGAACTTTCTCTCTCTCTCTGTAGGTGTATTGCCGTAGCGGTACCATTTACAGTAGTTATGGGAGTTTAGTTCGCTGGAGACGCGTGGCCAGTGGCGTAGCTCCATTAGCGAGATATATGGACCAGTCTCGTTGTGAATATAATGGTTGATAAACGGATGATCATCTTTGCTAATGACGCATGGCAACTCACGGAGCCCCATGGCGGTGTGAGTGAGTATCACTCTCGCTGGATCTTGTTAACCAGCGGCACCCTAGAGCTGTGCGAGTGAGTAGTTACTCTCGCTGGGTCTTGTCAACCAGCAGCGCCCTATAGCGGCGTGAGTGAGTATCACTCTCGCGAGGGAGATGCGCCTGGAAACAAGAGTATGGTAATTAGTTGCGAAATACGCAAGGCAACAGGCGGCGCCCTCGTAGTGGTCTGATTAGAATCAAGTTGCAGGGGGCTCCACGAGCTAATTGCGCCTGGTGGCAAGAAGTGGTATCATTGCTTGAGATACTTGTACCATGGAATGTCGGCGTCCTCGATAACGGTCTGATAAGAATCAAGTTGCAGAGGGCTTACCGCTAATTTATGCGTTGGCCAGCAATGAATGATATTAATTGCAGGAGCTGCCAGGCAATTTCGGAGCACTCTATAGCGGTCTGACAAGAGTTAAGTTGCAGAGGACTTACCGATAATTTCTGCGCTGGACAGTAATAAATGATAAATAATTTGCTGGAGATGCCAAACTATACCGGCGCCCTCGAAGCGGTCTGTCAAAAGTCAAGTTGCGGAGGGCTTACCGCTAGCTGGCCAGCAATAAATGATATAAATGAAATAGTATATCTTGCACGGATTTCCGTAGACACACATGTAGAACTTTTACTAGATGTAACTTGCACTATTTTACTTTGACGCACTCAACCAGACAGATTTCTTCGACGTGTGCTGCTCTTTATATATGGTCACGTAGACTTAGAGTCTGTCACTAATAGCTTTGGTGTTACTGTACCGATAGAGTATCAATTTCAGAAAATTCTGTCAATTTGTCGGAAGATAAGCCTTTCCCAGTAGGAAACTTCTCCGTATTTGCTATGCGGATATATTTTCGGATTTTTTTGATATTGCCAATTATAGTAATTTTAATTTTATGGAATCAAATTGTTTTTGTTGCCTGTGTCAATCCTGAAGAGGGACATTTTATATCAACATTTAAATTATTAGCCAATTTTAGAACAATCATATGAAACATATTACAAGATTTCAATAAAAAATTTATCTATAAGGAAATAATGCGGCTTTGTTCATTTAACCCGTATTTATTTGAATATATAATTCTACAAATATAACTCCGTTTATAAAAACTACATTATTAAAGATACATATTTAAAATATTTGATATTAATTTATTTCAATTCATAAATAATAATATATTAATAATAATATATCTGAATCAGAATTAATTTACTTTAATTACTAAATATAATAGCAATTATTTTTAATGACTTTTTAATGACTAAAATAATTTTTATGACAAAATGAAATGATAGCAGAATTTTATTTTTTCATATTATTTTAAATAAAAACTTATAAAAATATTAAAACTTTCATATTTTGAAAAAAATAAAACTGGACAATTACTTAGTTTCATCTTGGTCGTCATCATCGTCTTCAGAATCAAAAAATGCATCATCAATCTCAGCTGAAGTATCCATGTGTATCTGGTGTTGTTCTAATTTAGATTTCGATATCACAATGGACCTATAAGAAATTTTTTAAAAAATTTAAATTCTTTTGTATGCATTCAATATATTTGCTATTTTTTTCAATATATTTGCTATTATTTCAATATATTCTCTTTTACTTGCTTCCTTTGTGATCTAATATAAATTATTTAAAAAAATATTAAAAGAAAATCTATATTATGACGTAATTGGTAAGAATATTTGGTTAAATAATTATTTTGAAATTACGTGTTTAATTGTATATTATATAATTATATTTATAATTATTATAATATATTATATAATTATATATATATATATAATTATATAATTATATATAATAATAATACGTACTTAATTAATTTAATTTATTCAATAGTTACCTTGATTTGTAAAATTCTGTTTTAGAGACGCAAACCGCTGTAAACGTATCTTCGAGCAAACAAACTTCTGACTTTTTACAATTTAATGGGAGACAAAGTTCATCTAAAGTTGAAAAATGAATAAATATTATGTATGAATGTTATGAATTTATAAAATTTTTATTACTAATGTGTCAAATATCAAATTAATTATCTAATTTATGAGTATTTTTTATAAACCATTATATTTAATCAATTAAACTAAACTATTTATGAAATAAATTTTGCATTTCTATAACTATGGACGTTAATAACAAATTATGAAAAATGATGATATAAAGATAGAGATGTGGATGTAAAGCACAATTAGTCTGCGTTAGTTTTGTTTATTAAAGTTAACTTTAATTTTAATACATATTATTTTTCTCGAGTATCTAAGTCATAAAATAGTTTTTATGACTTAGAATATTTTTTTACTATTTTATTACTACTTGATATCATTACTTTTTTAATAATATAATGAGTATCATATTTTCGAAAATAAGCTTAAGGCATGACCATGTAGTAGGTCAAATTATAATAATACATCAAATCACTTCTAAAATTCTATTCATTTATAATTTTTAGTCATAACAAAAATAAGACTTTAATAAATGCTAATAAGAAAATTATAGGTATAACTAGTGAAATAACTCATTAAAGTCGTTGTTAATATATTATTTACGGCCATGCTCAATACTATCTAAGTTATTCGTACGTAATATATTTTTTATCGACTTAATCGTGACTGCTAAGCTTTATTGAAGAATGTCTTATTCAAAGATTGTAAGTTAACGTCGTATTTTTATACAAGTTTTTTTTAAATATTGTTCGAGATTCCGAGAATCTCTCGACTATTATAATTTCTGGGAAAACTCCTAACCGTTATCATTTCTGGAAAACCCCAAGGGTTATAATTTCTGGGAAAACCTCCAACGGTCATTGGAGATCCGGAAAAGCAGTTACATCCGAAAAAAAGTGCAGAATTGCCTCTATTGTTTTTAGCACCACAATCGCATTCTATCACCATAATCGCCTTCATTCTTGTCAGCTAACTAAGTTGCCGTGTAGGCAAGCGCATCACTAGATAGAGGTCCAGTTAGCCATGAGCTATTCAGTCATGATTTAGTCACTCAGAGACACAGGCGCTTCCTTAGTGGCGATGCCATGGATGGAATACTAAAGCAAAACAACTCAGTGTCATCGTAACTCTCTCAAGGGACTCAGTACCAATGCGCACACCTTTTCTCTCAAAGTGCCAACGAGCACTCTCTCAAGTGGTTGCTTCCACGAGTCTGTGTAAGCAATCCTATTCGACACCACACCAAGGTATCGAATGTCACCACGTAATATTACACAAAGGCTATTACAAAGAGGTATTCAGAGATTTACGATCTCATATTTTTTCGTGTAAACATCCACTACCCAGTGCATCACGTTATCAGAATACGGAAATTTACGACCTCCTACCTCTACAAGTAGTGAAGAGTAACACTTCTTGGCAACAACCAAGGAATGGCAAGATCTCAGCGATTCTCAATGTCAACATAGAATCATAATAGTGTAGTTGTTACGGATTGTACAGTTGAAAGCGGATAAAAGTGGGAGAGGTATAAGCAAGCGAACGATTGTTTATAAACACTAGCCATCGAACTGGAGTAATATTTCTACCCCGAAAACCCGAATATAGGACTAAAATTTCGAAGAATTATAACAATGAAACTCACAACAACTATGCTTATTGACGTCACAAAAAATACTGGCATAGTAACAGACACCGGATCGCCACCGGCATCCAGAAAATTACTACGAGAATACTTAAGGACTGCGTGTGCCACGCGCCAGTCAGTCTTTGTCGGTCCCTTGCGAGTCTTTGTCTCAGCTTAGCGTAATAACGATTACGCAGTAATATTCAGTCAACTCACTATTCAGTCTTCAAGCTTCTTTCTACAGTCATCTCTCACTGTAGATACACACGTACGTAATTACTCAAACAGTAAGCAATTTGACTATACAATAGTGAAGCACATTTCAGAATCCGCTAATCAAACTTAACGAATAATGCGATAGTGCTAACTTAATCAAGAGTGAAACTATCGAAGCCTACTACATATATTAACGGATTACACCGACTCTAAGATAGCAGCAGCGGTCCCCCTTTAGAAAGCTTAGGTGCAGCAGCAGCAGTTCTTACGCACCGACACAAAGGTAGGAGCAACCCAGTCTTACTTAGGCAGCAGCGGTAAACAGCGGCGGCTTTCACGCATACTACAACGGTATTGACTCACACACGCAGCAGCGGCACACAGCGGAGGCTCACACGCATACTACGACGGCATTGACTCACACACCGACCCTAAGATAGCAGCAATCGCTACGCACCAACACAAAGGCAGGAGCAACCCAGTCTCACTTAGACAGCAGCGGTACAACAGCGGCACTCTTGGAAGGGAAGGAGTCACTCTACACATTACGGAGAGTACATACACTCCCGTCAGCACATAACACTATTGAAGAAACTTCCTCTAATTATTCGCTAACACCTTTATTCACACACTTTATGAATAATAACTATTTATTACATTATTATATTTAATAAAGAAATGAAAGTAAACACTGCATGTAGTATTGAATAATTGCATTGCCCCTTCCACTTGCCAGCAACACCTCCACCCAACATCTAAGGAGGTTTTTAGTCTGATCCCAGACAGTAGTTGTAAAATAAATGCAATAAACAAGCACGAAAAGCTGATGTTTAAATATTGAATTGAAGCGCTACTCGTTCCACTTGCCCACACTTTTCTCCCACCAGGAGACTAGTGGCCATAATTTAGTTCTAAACAATGTATTTATAAATCTAGTTGTGATATGAATGATAAATTCATAAACTAATGGTATGATTCCAATTATAATAGATATTTTTATAAAATAATTTTAAATATTCAAATAAAAATAATATATTAATAATTCCGTAATGTATACCTTTAACGACCAATTATATAATGCTAAATCTAAATAACAGTCTGATCATTTTAATAATAAATCTTAATAATAATCATAAAAAGAACATAACTTACTATTTGGAACATGCATCCACTTTTTCTTATCGTTAAATCTTGAAACTCTCGAATCATCCTGAAAGTATAACAATTCAAATTATACTGTGAATAAATCTGACATAATTTTTTTATAATTATAAAAAATGAAATTGAAATTATAATAAAAAAAAATTATATGCATATAAAATAAAATAATGCAATAATATTTCTTTTAAATTGATAGTATATTATGTGTCAAACGATGCTCCTTTTTACTATTACATTAAAAGGTAAATTTGAATTAATGGTATTCACTAAAACAATATACTTAACTGAGTTAAATAACGATGTATTCAATTAAATAATAATATATTTGTTAACATTTATATATATTTTAATTTTTATTTTTTTAGAGAATCAATATTTCTTAGAAACCAAACGTTGAAAATGAATGGTGAACATTTTTGTTGCATAGAACTAAATTGCGACTCCTTAAAATACTGTAAAAAATATTGTAAAAAAATTATAAATATGTCATATTATCAATGAAATATACAATTCAAATTCATATTTTCTTTTTTATGTTCTTAATGTTACATCCTTTCTAACTATAAAGTTTCATTTTTCGAGAATTTCGTTTAATAATTAAAAAAATTTATCGTGAAAGATTTATTTGATTACAAGTAATAAAATGCTATTTAAATTATTTTTGTGTATCATATCGAATAATAAATTTTAAATATATTTTAATAAATTTAATTGTAGTACGAAAAGTTGCATATTAAATGTAAATGAAGAAATCATTATAAAATATTAAATTATTTTTTGGTACGAAAAGGATATTATTATTAATATATTTAAATGTTTAATAAATACTTTTTATAATTTCCAAATATATGTACGACATATTTCATATTAGTATAGTCTAATATAATAGGATAGTACAAATCGCGTATTTATTAAAACAAATTAAATTAAACAAATAGCGTCCTTTAATCATAAGAGTTCACAAAAGGAATCCACTTATAAAGTCTGGGGCCGAGATAAAATTCAATATTCTATGCCAGATGTACAATATAATATATCCATATATTCATGCACACATATAATATATATATTATCAGGAATAGTAATGTGCACCTAAGTATGCGCACGTGTATGTTGAAAAAATTGTGCACAATGCAATAAGTCCATACAAATGTTAGTTAAGCAAACCAAATACCACCAGGATCATTTATTTGCTGTTTTATTATAAATAAGTTTTAAAGAGGAAGCTTAAAAACTTTATTGTAAGATATAATGAGAATAATGAAACGTAAAAAATCTTACCTCCGCAAATTCAAAATCTCCATCAAATTTACGTTTAGCGTTTTTGGCTATAACCGCATTTAAACATATGATTAATAGACAGCAAGAACTAATAGTCATTGTCATAAAGAAGCAGGAAAAACGCATATCTATTTATTTGTTGTCTCTCTCTCTCTCTCTCTATCTCTACGTATATTTTAAAATGAAAAACACACTTGAAATTTACAAAACTATTACTGTTTTTGCAAAACTTTCATTAACTTTATGGTTTATAGTTTTGCTTAGGGAGTCACACTAATTTTTTGTGTGTATCTTTTATAGGGTATTTATATTTTAAAACATAAAATATATATAAAAAATCCAAACAATATTGATTTGTTAAGTGAGTGTAGAATGGCGAGGATATTTATCATTTATACCAACGCAGATAAATGAAACACATCAACAAGGCAAAATAGAAATCTTCCACGACACTCAAATGATAAGTGACTGCATGGAATAGCCACCAAATGCCATTTACGTAGGTGTTAACATATATTGATGTTTATTTTTATTTTAGCGTCGAGACTTGAGAGTAGTTACTGAAGTTCACATACACGAAAAAAGCATGAAACGAATCGTCGGCACTGGTAGAGATAAAAATTTTATGCCTTCTATACGCATGCGCATGATAATTTAAGTAAGTTTGGATATGTATACATGTATGTAATGCGTAAGAGTTAAGGATTTATAAAAAGAAAATTCTACAATCTGCTATTATACAATATATTTTTTTAATTAAATTCTCATTCAAATTGAAATTGAGAGCAGCCTTACTCTCTTATTAAAAACGTTATATATATATATATTTGTTTAAACTAAATTTTTATGAAAAAGTAAAATTTAGTTAATAGTACTGATAGTTTCACTTTCTTTTAGAAATTAGAGACATTCTTTCTAAAATTTATCTTCAAATAATCTGTATTTTCAAAATTATAAATTAAAAATCTTTAAAATTAGAAATTCAATTTAAGTTCTTAAATAATTCATTGAAATTTTTAAATTTTTAAAAAGAGTATTGTAATATATGTAAATATGTATATTTCCTTAAATATTACAACTACATGTATGCGTATTATAATAATGTATTTATGTATATATAATAAATAGTAAATAAAAATTTGAATAACTAATTGAAAACTATATTCCAAGTAGAAACACTTTTATAATAAATTAAATTTACTTGTATAAATTTGTGATAGCATATTATAAAAAGAAATTATTTTTGGTCAGTTTTATATTTTATTTACAATGTATTGATAACAATAATTTAGAATACTAAAAAAAAATAAAAAATGGGAATACCATGCAGCAATATATCGATATTATATTGAAGAGCAGTTGAGTCATATTACATGGTTAGCATAACTTTTAGTCAATCAAGAGAGGGCTGAATTATCATTTCATATACAATGGTTGTTAGCACATTCTAGATATAAGAACAAAATTAATGTTTCCAGAATCAATATATTGTGTCAATAATAATTACGTACCTCAAGTAGTTCTGATCTTGAATTATTTTAGAAAGGATATTAGGAAATACTTCTAAAAAATAGTAAAATTAATAAGATATTAGGAGGCAACAATGGTTAGACAGCCTCATGTCATAAATGACAAAGCAGGCTACTATTTTGAAACAATCGGTTTGGCCATAATAAATTAAGTATATAACTGGAAATAAAAAAAAGAAAAATGAAAGCTTATATATAGCAACATTTAACTGCATAAGTAATAAGTTGTCACACTTCTATCATGTGAGTTTTTAAAATCATTATTTGATATTTGTGAGAAAAGGTAGATAACAATTAATAAAATGAAATAAGAGTTTTTATTTGATTTATAGAGATATTTATTTGTTTGAAAATTGAAATAAAAAGCTTCGTTTATATATAATAAACGATTTCGAAGAATCGTAAAATAGTTCATTAAGGTAATACATAAGCAATTACAAAAAAATGTTTGTATTGTAAAACATCAAATGCAGTATATTAATATATAAATACGATGCTATTATTGTTACACTATAGATAACCAAAAATTCAGAAAAGCAACTGAAATGTGTAACTTTAAATTCTGATCTTCTTTAAACACTTGCTAATATCAGTATATCATTAAATAAACATACCAAAAGATATATATGACATTCTATATTTAGTATAAATATTTTAAATTTCAAAAGACTAAACTTTTCTACAAAAATTAAATTTAAAAATTGAATATTTGTTTTACACATCCTATAAATGCGAATATGGATCGTTAACAGAATAAATGAAATATGTAGGAATATGAATAATTGTACCTCAAAACATGGATGTTAAATTATATCATTCAATATCCATTTTAATTTGCAAACGAACTGCTCGTTTGTATAATGAAATTACAAATCTATTCAATATACCATATCAAGTCCATAATATAAGCAATATGGTATTATTTCTCATGGATTTATTGGAATTGTGAATCATTGAATTATGGCTATCTAACATTTTGACTTATTTTTATAACACCAATACCTTTTTCTTGGTATCGAAGTGTTAAATTATATATTCGAATGCGCTATTTATATTTCAATCACCATATTGGAAGATGCAAATATTCATATTTTAATCACTTGAACTAAATTACAATGTTCCAACGTCTAAGTATGTTTCAACGATATAAACATTAAACGTAACAATCCACATTACATTACGCTCTATTTGACATTTAGGATTGTTTCGAATAGTACACGCTACAGTGGAATATTAATTTCGTGCTACTTACCTAATATTGTACCCAATTAATGATTTTGTATTAACACAGATGCATTCTAAAAATAAAAATCTTTTTAACAAATAAGAGGTTTTTTTTACAGTTCAATGCTTTATACAGATCCTCGCGTATATATATATATATATATATATATATAAACACGCATATATTAAAAATTAATATATTAATTTTATAAAGATTATTATTCACTAGCCCTCCACAATAAGAAAAAAGTTGTATTTTATTAAAAAATTCCTAATATACAATACTTTCGCATTTTTATTTAAATGAAATCATTAAAAAACCTCAATATGATTATTTCTAAATTAACAACATACATATTTTAAGTATACTATAAATATTAATATATTACTTAAGAAATTTAGTAATTAAAAAATTAATTTTATAAAAGAATTTGTAATGCATGAGTAAAATTAAAATATATAATAATGACTATATAGTACTCTAAAGAAAATTATTCAATCTTGTATGAACTTATTGATATATCTTTATGTAATTCCATTTATATAAAATAAGTTTTTAATTTTTTATTTTAATTTATATTTAATATATAAATATAAAATATTTCTCTTAATTAAAATTACACAATGTTTATACTAAGAATATATTATATATATTATATTGTTTATATAATTAAAAATTTTTAATATTTTCATTTATCATTAAATAGATTTGAATCACAGTTTTTAAATTGTAATTAATTAACAAAAATAAATACAATTCTAGTTAAATGATAAACTGATATTATTTGTGCTTCTACAAATCTGTGTAAATCAGTAATATATTTGCATGTGTAACTTTAGTTTTATACCGAGTGCTTTGTTTATAGACAATAACTTATTTTAATTACACGTATGTATATGGATGTATATTCTACGTTCCTTATTTTAAATATTACACCCACAAAAGATTTTTTTACATAAAAAATTAAACATTACATAATTGAATTACATTGCATATTAGATTTCAAAAGAACATCATATGGTTATTGAAATTCGCCTATAAATGATTTTGCTTAATGTTTTATTTAATATTTTTGTGTAAAATATTATTAATAAATATAAACTAATATTTTAAAATTATTTTTTGTTAATTAATATATAACTACTGAAAATTGTTTATTTTTTATAGGGTCTGATTTAAAAGAAAACAAATTTTAAAAAGTGATTATAATAAATTAAAAGGAAAATGTCAAAGTGTTATATTTTAAAGTAATAATAATGTTTTAACCATTCTGCATTATCCAAGATTCTATTTTATTTAATTTATAAATTTATACAGATTTTTTTGGAATAAAAAATTAGTACTTCTGTGCAGTTACATATTACAATATATTTTAGTTTTTTTAATTCTTCAATTTTTAATAACCTTTAAATATTAAAATTAAAAATTAAATAATTTTATTTTTTTGTATTTCAAAGATTTTTAATATAATTAAAAATAGATTTTTGTAATACTTATTTACAGTTCGATAAACAAAATCTTCAGATGAATAAATATTTGTCTTCAAAGAAGTAATTTTTTCAAGTAAGCAGGGCTAGCTTTAGAAATAATTATATATTATTTTTTATCTTTTTAAATTAATTAATATCAAATAATTAAAAGGAACTTAATTTATTTACATAATCTGGCTCAATATGTATGATTTAACAATATTATTAATTTATTTAAATTGTTAATTACAAAGATTTATTAAAATACGAAGCATTAAATAAAAATGAAATTATATAAATATTTATAGGAATATTATGCAAACCGTCACGCTTTTTACTCATTATAAGGAATATAATAAATGATTAAAATTAATATTCCTTTTATATTTTTAATCATTATTCTTCTTATTTTCGCTATTGTTAATAATACAAATTCAGCTTAATTTTACTATGATAAATAGTTAATAATTAATATCTTAATCTATATAAATAAGTTTGTATAATAATTTAATAAATATAGAATATATAAACAATTCATATAAATGTATAAATATGTGAATGCCATGATTTGAAGCTAATATTAGAATCAGTATATTATTGCATAGGGTATTGTTTTTTGTCTGCAAGAAAAAATACATTTATGAGATAATGTACCTTTTTGATATTATTCTTCATCTTTCATTTTATAGTTACTAATTTGTAAAAAAATTTTATCCCATGTATACATTATATTAAATTAAAAATTTATTGAAAAAAATTAATATTGATTAGTAACATGGAAAGTGTATGATTATAAATTAACTGAATTTGGGTCATATCAATATATTTAACAAAAATAATTAATTACATTAGCTTTGTTATTAAGTGATGAAATTGAAAGCATTCGATTAATAATATTTAGAATTCTTATATTTATATATTAACTTAATTTTTTCGTACAACGAAAAAATATAAAATTTGTAAAAAATTTAAAACAAAATATAAAATTTGTAGAAATTAAATTTTATTATTTTTGAAAATTTGAGCATATTAAAGTAGAGGTTGTACATTTTTTAAGATTTTTTTTATACAACAGCAAATTAAAAAATAATTATATCAAATAAGTTTCTAGAAAAATATTAATATTCCAAATTTTGTGAAAACCACTTAAATTATGTATAATTGCAATGACGATAATGTACTTGTTATTGAATACGCAAGTCTTATTTCTTACCTCTTAATTTTGTAATTATTACTTTTATGTAAATAAATCAAATTTTTCTATTTCGATTTCTCATCTTAAAAATAGTATAATAATAATATAACTTTTAAACATTGTAGAACAATTAAAATATTACTTTAGTATTATTAAAAGTAATAAGTGCTACCAAGAATAATATAATGAAATAATTTTATTAATATATTGAAAAATAAAAAATCTACTACTTAAAAGTCACAAGGAGTGTAGTATCCAATTTTTCAGGGAAAAAAAAACGTGAAATATAGAACTACAAGTAAAAAACTTACGTCTACGAAACAATTTAATAAACTGCTTGTAAAAGTTTAATATAAAAACGTAATTATTAATTAAAATCAATATTTAGGTTTGATATCAAAGTATGATTTAATATAATAAAAGAATTGTTTGAAATGATTAAAAAAATACTTTTTATACTATACGTAATAGTTTAAATCTTCTTATTAATTACTTGTTATTATAAATACATTATAATAAATCATTTTATCTCTGATAATTTTTGTAAACAAATTTTTCAGGAGGTAATATTTATTAATTATCTTATGAAAAAATTCTTTGATATGATAATTCTTATATTTACACAATAAATTTGTTTATACTTTACTAAATTTTATATAAAGTAAATAATGTATTTGAATTTATATATTTTTTCAATAAAATATATTTACAGGTTGTGAGGTGACTAAAACGAAAAGTATAATTTTGTGTAAATAATACTTTTATTATATTCTTGTATCTCCAGATATAAGATTATCTTTATTTTAATCTTACTTAATAATTTGAAATTTTTAGCAAATATACAATCAATCATATGATTATTGGCAATAACGATTTTTGACAAATATTTTGTTCTTGATTCTATCATAATACACCTTATTAATAAATGAAATATTTTGATGCTTATGCTAGAAAAATGTTAGTGCTTGTCAATCAATATAATTTTCAATAATGTTTTTAATTCTATATATCAAATTTTTTGTTAAATATTTATTTGTTTTAATATAATTTGTTTTGGTTTTTAACTTATTAATCCTATCTATTTGTTATACTTACTTATCTATTATATATTCTTCCAAGAGTATTTTAAAATTAATCCACCTGTCTTTGATCCGATAGACCTATAGATTCTATTAAGTATAGTTCTCTGTATCTTACTTAAATTATTATTTTTAACTCCAATAATTAGCTCCAAACTTTGTACATCTACTTGCTGAATACTTAATATATTATAATTACTTTACTATACAATAACGCCTCGATTGGTGATATCATTTTTCTTGTGATATGGAACGATTTTAATATTAGCTTAATAAATAAATTTTTTAAAGAAATTTTATGGAATGATACTGTAGTAATCAAGATATTATTTCTTCAAAACTGCACATGTTGTTTATTATTTGAAGAAACTATCAATTCTTTTGTTTTGCTTTTCTATTTATGTGTGTATACTATAAATTCCATGCACGAATGTATAGTGGAACTTGCATATTGTTTAATAAAAACATGTTTAATTTTAAGTATATTGTTTGATAATTGAATTTCATTTGCATTCTTAAATAGATGTTTTATTTTATGCATTTCAATTCTTCATTTGAATGAAGAAAATATATGTAATTATCTCTGTTTAAAATATACGTTTACTAACAAAAAATGTATAAAGAAATAAGTGCTTTTATAATTTGTTCTTCAATTACATATGTTTAATCACTTTGAATTAAAAAATTCCTTTGTGACTTTTTGGATGTTATATAGGATAAAAATCTTAATATAGCATAATTAAAATTTTGATTTTTATTATTATGAAGTTTTAAATTTCATTCAAAATTTAATATAGTTACTATACTTAACGTAATATCCAAAAATATATCCAGAATATAATATTTAATTAAAATCTTTATTTTTTAAATTTATCTCTACTGTACTTAATAAATGATTGTAAATTTATTTCAAACGTTTCGTTCAGATTAGTTGTTCAAAATTTATCTTAATTTAAAAATTAAAATATTTAATATTTATATTTTACAATATAAAATGTAAATTATTTTTATTATATCAATTAAACTAAAAAAAATTTTATCTTTCATAAACAATTGTGCACCTACATATTCGAAATTAATAATATAACCGTTTCATTATATCTGAGTTTTCAAAATTGATTTATGGTTATCTTGTTTCATTCTATTTTGTAATTTTGTTTTCAAACACCTTCGTTTGTAACGGCCAATTTATTTTCTATACAATGATATTCAAGAGTTTGTTCGTTATTTAGTATTTAATTTTCATGACAAAATTGTATGTTTCATAATTTACACCAACAGTTTCCATACCCAAAATCATAAATCAAATTCAAGCCATTATAAAATGGAACTATAATTAAATTCTATGCAGTTTGTCAATCTTATCAATATAAGATTAAGGAAAGAATTTGAACCGAATAACGTTTATTCACGTCTCAATTCTAAAGTTAAAGAAAAGGTTAGAGACTGTGATAAATCTTACAAACATAAACTTTATAGATTAAGAAGAATAGGAAGGAATGCGCATGAAGGAAAATTCAAACTATGCAAAATATACATTACACTAAAGTACATGAGTAAATGAAAGTAAAAATTAATAGTATTAACTTTGCTAATTACATGTTAAATGCAATAAGCTATATAGAATATGTTATAAAAATTAATAAACCTGAGTTTATTGATGAAAATGAACTGTGTTTAGACGCCTAAGATAGCCAACGTACATTCAAAGCTCCCTAATTAAATAAACTTGCTAATTATCATGGATAAATGAACTAGTACATAACTAAACTACTTTTATTTTTGTTTTTTTTTTTATGACAAAGTAAAATTTTTATTGTGAAAAAACTTGTTTTATGATAACGTACATAACAGATCTAAGCTTTTGCGAATAACGAAATTGTCTTGTATTTATAGAAGAGCTTAATAAAATTATCTAATAAATTCTGTTATAATATATATGTCGGTAATAAGTTGATATATAGAATTTAATGACTACAAATACGTAATTAGTTCTTTATATTTAATTGACATGCAAATGGTTATTTAATCATATATTTTTGATGGACTTGCTTGAAGGTTATGATTATTATTTATTATTAATTATACATTGTATAATAAGATTTTAAATTATATATTTTTTAATCGTTTTTATTAAATATTTCATTAAATCAAGATGATTGAAATAAAATGTATATCGACAAATACAAATAATACATTAGAATTTATTCGTGATGAATTACGAAACGAAATAAATATTACTAGAAAACAACAACGAGATTTAAAAATAAATCAAAATCGTTTAATTCTTGGAGAATTAGATAATAATAAAAGTATGGAAGAATTTGTTGTAACAGCTGCTATAAATCTTCGAAGAAAATCGCTTAGTCTTCTAGAATATAGGAAGTTACAAAATGCTTTAATTCAGGTAAAAAGTATTATATTGTAAAAATGATTATATTACAAAAATTAATTATTTTAGAATGAAAATCATGTCAATGCATTTCTCAAAGTAAATAATGTAATACAAGGATTAAGTAGAGATCTTGCTAGCAAATCTATACAAATAAAATTGGCTGCTGCCAATTGTTGTTGTAATTTAGCTTTAGGCAATTCAAAAACGTGTATAACACTTTGTAAATTTATTGCTCCTTATCTTATTGCTGATTTTGAAAGCAGAAATCAACCTCTAGTTGTAAGTCAATATTAATATATTCTCTATTTAGTTGTTAAATATTTTTTAAAAAATTGATATTTTTTTAGGAAGTATGTGTTTGGACTATCGGAAATTTAGTTACTGAAAATAATAATGTATTTTGTATTTTACATGCACAAGATTGTATGAAATCATTAATTAATCTTGTTCGGCAAAGTTCTGATACACTTTTACCTGCTGTCAGTTATGCATGTTTAAGATATATTTATTCAGGTATTGATTTAATAGAGTAAGTTATTATAAAGGAATTATTAACAGATTAGTTATATGCAATGTTCAGTTTATATTTACATTTTTATTATCAGAGTATCAGATATTATTAAAATTGGAGCAATAATATTAGTACGACATCCTACAGTACTTGATATTGATACAATATGGTTATTAGCAATATTATCATCTGAACCTGAATGTAATATGGAGTTTATGAAATATATTTTTACAATGTGCACTTATTTTTTTCAAGCTATACTTACAGATGATAAAAATATCAAAAAGGTTTTTCTTTATTATATTTATTCCTTCTTATAAAATTGTTGAATTGTAATATTTCTAAAGATTTCAGCCATTCTTAGAATTATATGTAACATTATCTCAGAATCATCGGGAAAAGTAGCCTTTTATTTATTCAGTAATGAATTTGAAAGAAATTGTATTTTTCTGAAAAAGTTATTATTTCATCAATATATTCATATTAGACAAGATACATTATGGATGTTAGGTAGTTATTTTGTTTTAATAGCAAATAAATGTACATTGTTAAATTTTTTTAAGTAATTACATAGAAAAATATTAATTTTTTTAGGCAATCTTTACAATCATTATTTGGACTCTGTTCAAAATTTGGTTAAATCTATGATTTCTTCTTTACCATCTTTGGAACTTGCAATGAATTCAATTAATTAATTCAAATACAATATATTATCAGTACAAGTATGTTTATTAAGAATAATTAATAATATTAGTACACTATTAGTATCATAATTTTCTAAATGTTGAAAGCTATTTTGGAAGTTAAAATCTTGTTTTTACAGGAACAAATCTCCTTAAATATTTATTTTTAGATGAGAATACATCTTCTATGCATACTGGTTGACCAATGTTAAAGTATATATTACCAATGACTCTTGCTGAGATATGATTGATATTCTTTAAACAATCGTAAAAGGCCTTATCACAACTACAATGAGATCTACAGAAAGAATAGTGATATTGATCAAATACTGTAACATATTACGAAATTATAATGCCTGTATTTTCATTGTAATAATTTTATTTGCTTACTTGCTGAAAAATGAGTTATTCATTAAGTTGTAACGACTTTTGTATGCCCGAATTTTTATTGGACACAAATCATGAGCTCTACAACATCTATAGTATTTCAAATTATAAATTAGATATATTAATTTTAATAACATTTTAATAATCTTTGAATTTAGTTTTTTTTATATGAAATATAAAAATATTGTGATAAAAGCTATAAAATATGACGGGATTAAATTAATTATATAAAAAATGAATTATCACTATTTATTATTTCATACATGCATTTATATCTTATAAAAAGAAAACATAAATTTTTTTAAAATTATATATAAAAAATTAAATATATTAAATATATATGTGTGGATGTGTATGTGTGCGTACGTGTGTGTGTGGAATAATGTTAAAAATTACACTGGAGACCTCTAATTACCTGTCAACTCTTGCTCGTGATCCTAAATCATGATAACTCTTAGCAATATCACCAGTGCCACACCATTTAGTTCCTATTCATATAAGAATTTAATTCGTTTTATATTATAAATCTAAAATTATTTATAATTTTTTTAACGAAACTTTACCTGGAACAATCCCGTCAAATAAAGGATTGCCTTCATTGTATTTTTCAACATATGCATTGAAATTTAATGAGCGTACAACATTTTCATCTAACTTATCACACTTATCCATAAGTTTTAGTATATCATTAAAAGAAATTCGATGAGCTTTTGATGTAGATAAATTTTTAAAAATTTCGTATTTTTCACTTGATTCGCTATAATTGCATTTAATTTAAATTAGAAGAAAAATTTGTTTTATTTATTAAATTCATAAATTATAATTAATATAAGACTGTTTTTCAGAATGACTTCTATATTCATTTGAGTTTGATAATTATACAAATTAGTCGATTTTATGAACAGTAAAATTATTTGTTCATAATAAAATATTAAAATATGAGATATTAAAATAGAATAAAATCCTAATAACATATGTTAAAAATTAATTGTCTGCACAAGCTATTTCATAAAATAATCGATTTTAATATATTTTTTTCAGATTTTATCATGGTAAAGTAATTTGCAATTATGAGATTTATTTTGATAATATTTATTAATAATTAAATATAATATGTATAATAAACATAAAATGAAACGTTAAATACAATAACGAAATACAACAATTTTTAATTTAGTTACAAATTTCATCAATTTTTGTAGTAAATGTTTATAATAAACATTATACTGAATGAATTTAGCTATATTAATCTAGATTCTACAATATATATATAATATCTACTATAACTCAAATAACATATATATGGATACTGAGAATATTTAAAAAAATGTCTTATTATAGGTTTGCTAGAAATAAATAAATAGTAAAGAAATTATATTAAACAATATATATGATAAATTTAAATTTCACGTGTGCATAACTGACGACTTCGTGGAATTTTAAAAAACATACTTTATATTTAAGATATTAATTACTTTAAACTACATTTTTTAAATTTATGTTATTTACTTCTCATAAGTTTTTTAATGTAATATGCAATAAATATGTTTCTTTTTTCGAAATATAATTTCAATTTTATACTGAAAATACTAATCGATTTCATTACCGAAATTAAAACTATGATTTTCGGTAACTTTTATTTTAAATCAATACTTTATTAATATAATTTGATTAATTATATTCATTAAGTAAAATAAAAAATTCTTTTAATTAAAAGTAGTATATTTTCATAACGATCCTTTTTATGCATGAATGTGTATGAATTCTTGAATGACAAAAATTCAATTAAAAAATTAAAAACAATAAAATATTGATAAATTATAAATAAGGTAATGAAAATATATTCCCCTATTAATATATTATTTTATATACTTGTTTATTCAGTAAAATGTGACAATTCTAAAGTAAAAGACCGCTAATGATTCATTTCATACTATATTATAAAATATAAAATAAAAATTACTCACTAGACCTCAATGAGTTCGCAATGAAGAAGTTTCTTTCCTTCTGCGATGTCTAGAATAGCAACGAGTTGATCATAGTAGTATACCGATCTTGTCTCTCCCGCTGTTTCATTAAGAATTGGTAATTTCGGCAGACCCTTAAAGGTGCTTGTGCTTGAAAAAGCCTTTACATTTCCCGTCGTTGATAATAAATCAAATGTTAAATTTTGTTGACTTTGATTACATCCCAACAATAGCATCAATGCTAGGATAATCATTGTGTATGAAATGAGTTTCAACTATTATTTTTTAAATCGCTTTTTCTTATTTCTCTTGCGTAACAAAGAATAAAAGGAAAAGTGAGATTCATATTTTAGTTACAGTTCCGCGATAAACTGATGTTACTTGTTCAGTGTGTGGAATACAAGACAAACTGTAGTATATCTTCTGTAGGAAAAAGTGAAAGAATATTAATAGAAATTTTATATTTCACAATGATATTTATCTATTATTAAATTAATAATTTAAAAGAAAAAAGCTTACACTATACATACTTATGATATGAGTGCACATATTCTTATAATTATAAGATTATAATTAAATAGATAAGATAGTGGAATTGATTTATATTTTAATATAATTATATTATTTATATAACAAAGTACTAAGTATTATTAGCGAATAATATTAATACTTCTACGTAATATGTACATCTTAATCTTAATTATATTTATTCTTTATTATATTTTTATTCATAATTATATATAAAATATTAATTATATACGTATCGATAAGTATTTATTTTTAGTCACCCGATTTATATCAATAAACATTAATTACTATAGTGTTCTATTTCATTATTATTAAAAATTGCATTACTTTTTGGCACCCTTAAACAAAGTAATAAATTAACAAAGTAGGTGTAAGAAATTTTAAATATTTAAATGAATTTTTAAACGAATATTACTTTAAAATAAATACCAATAATATCTAAATCCATTATCTATTGCCTTATTGCATTAAAAAATCCCATTTTATTTTTATATACAGTCTTACTTTAATTTTTGTTTTATTTTTAACATATATTTACAATCTACATATTATGTATTACTAAATTAAAGACACTATTTTGTTTTTTTATTATAATATAGTAGCATTGATGAAATATATGATGTATTATAATTAACTATAACGATATTAAAATTAAAAACGTGTTTTTAGTTGTTTAAAAATTTCAAAATAATTTTTATACCTTAAGCATTTAGTCATGTTTTAGTTTATTTGCATGTAAAAAGAACTATAATATATTAGTATTTTTCTTGATATGATATTGAAATAAAAATAAATTGTATTCAATAAATATCTAAATTCATCGAATTTTATTAATTTTTAAAATATTTAAGTATATATTCAAAATATACTTGATTTAGAGGTTATAACATGTTAGAATATTTAGGATGTACCGCTAAAATAATACAAATTTTAAAAAAACACGCTCACCTGTATCCATTAGGTCTTGCATTGCAATAAACAGTTCATTAATTTTCATATTCAATCAAAGTTAAAAAGATCTTTTTTATTTCACACACAATTTTTTTTTCATTACATTGACTTAATACAATCGTCACCGGTGAAATCGCTTGATCATTATAACGATTTCAATTGATATCTCTTTTCTTCTTTTAATACTTGGGGTGTACACTTTCTATCAACATACAGATTTTTCACATTTCTGTGTATGTACTTTTCCACAAATCCTTTATCATTTTATAATTTATAGTTTTATTATACAATGTTTTACATTTTATATATAATATATTAAACAATTTATATGTAACTATATACAGTTTTATTATAGTTATAAATAATAAGATTTGGCGCACTATACTAAGAATGAATATTAAATAATAAATAATTAATATATTATAACAAATAATAGTATTACATGATTTAATAATTATTAATTATATGAATAAATTTTTATGCTGTACAGTTCTTAAATAATGTGGGTTAATCAGATTATGATACATTTATCAACTTCGTGAAAGAATTTTACGAATGTTTTCTTGTAAATCTTTTTTGTACATTACGATTTTCAAATTTATGGTACAATTTATCACGTACAACGATATAAAGCACATGTTATCATCGTCAAAAGTAGACGCAAACTGCGAGTTAAATTGAGATTAAAGTTAAAAACCAGTTGTAAGATTCTGACTTCATTTATATTATGATTGTTGATCTGCTGCTGCTTTCTCTTTCTGTTGGTATTTGCTGCATAAATGTGAATAGAGTTATGCTTTTTTTAGATTGGTCTGGTCCTTTCACCCGTCCACATATGTGCATATTTCACATAACGCTGACTCTATAGTCTATTGTATCCACATAAATTGTCTGTTTTGTCTTTATTTTTCATAGTTCATATAAATGTAAGATCTTATGTATTTAAGTTAGATTTATTATTATTATTATTTATTGTTTGTTACGGATATGAATAAGTGAGTGATAACATTTAAATTAATTGGTTATTTAATTACATTTTTATTAAAAATAATTTTACTTGAGAAATTAGAATTGAAATAAATTATCCACTAAAATTATAATTGATTTTTTTCAAGTTTTTTTTTAATAAACTGCAAATGAACTTTTTTCTTATATAATTATTAAAATAATTTATCTTAAAAATTAGTATTAAAATGATTGTAATAATTGACTCAGAAATATGTTAATATATTTAATTAATCTATATTTGAAACTGATTTAGTAAAGATAGAATTTTTAGTATTTCAATTTCTATTATTATAATCATTAATTATAAATACGTTTATTTATTCGCGATTTGACATTTATTGAGTTGATTAAAAATATTAATTAAGATTTAAATAAGACTAAATTCCAAAATTGTAGTTTTAAAATATTACTTCAATACTTGATTAAATATTATATTAAATTAAAAGAAAATGTATTAAAATAAATTATAAATTTTAATTCTGAATACACTTTTTAATATCATTTTAAAAATACTAGGAACATTCTTGATATTTTTATAAGTACTTACAATGAAAGAAAATATAGTAATTTAAATTTAAATTAAATGTTTAAATATATTGATGTGAAATAATAAACATAATATTTATTATTAATATGTATTATTAATAGTTTAATGTTCAGATAAAATTTTTAAATGGTTTCTAATATATTAGTTACTATATTTTTTATGTGAGCATTTATTATTTTGTAATAAATCCTTTAATCATATTCGTTTCCATTTTTAATGTAATAATAATTGTACGTATATATAATTCTTGATTGATCTTCACTGTTACCAATGAAAATATGTTAAGCAACTGGCTATCGCATGATACTATGAATCGTACAATAAAAAAAAAGGAATCGAAAATGAATATATTTAAAATTTTTATTAATGAAGAAATAATCTATAAATATAAGACAAATATATAAAATAATATACAAAGTAAAATATATCATTGAAAGGGTTAGAGCGAAAAAGGAAAATAATACAGACAAAAGAGAAAACGTCTGTCACAACAAGAACCTACTTTTATTTCAGAAAGAAAAAAATGCTTTGAAGAAAGTAGGGCATTTATCAAATTGAATTCGTAAACGTTGAACTATATAAATCATTTTGTATTCAATAATACTATTCACTTATTTTATCTACATTCTTTTAGGCAAGAATGAATAATAACAATATTTATAATTTTTAAAAAATATCGTGTAAGTTATAAACGAAATACAAACAATTGCAGGAAAATCTATTAATAAGTCTTCACTCAGATATATAATCACCTGTATAAAATATTAATATATTTATTATGAATACGAAAAAATAATTACTTCAAATATAATGTCAATTTAAGTATATTTTTTACAATTTTCTTTTTTTTCTTTACAATTAAAAAATTTGAAGTGATTCTAATAATTGCGTCACTTATTTTTGCAGTAAAATAAATCATGATTTATAAAAAATGAAAATTATGGGTAAAAAGAGGTATAAATTTATTTATAGAGTTGTAGCACTATTTGCTGGATTACTGCTATTGTTATTTGATTTTCCATAAGGCAGTAATAAATGGCTAGTCGGTGCGTTGGAGTTCAAACGATTAATGCTGAGAGTCAAACTTACTGGAGTCGCATTCAGGAGTTGAAGTCTTACAGGACATTGACGGTATCCTTAAATATAAATAAGATTATTAAGTGTAATATTATCTTTTCTGGACTTATATAAATAAAATATTACTCTTATGTTATTTATGTCAGTTTAGTCAAGTTCTTATACTAAACACTCCTATTACATAATTCAATATTTACGTAAAAATAATATTATTGATAGTTCAAATAAATTAATTTTGCTTATTAGCGAAATACTGTAATATTGATGTTTTCGATATTTTACTTCATTCATATATATATCTACGTTCTCTTAAAAAAATTAAACTATTATAATATTAATAACATTAATATAGATTTGCAATTTTAATATTTTAGACAAATATTAATAATCTTTTAAAGAGATCGTTACATTTATTAAATTTTATTAATAAATTTATTATTTAAATTCGTTAAAAATATTAGCAAATTCGTATTAAGACTAAAATATGAAATTAGATGAGTTATTATTAAAAATATTATTATTAAAAATACTTACCGGCATGATGAGGACCAGAGCAATGACAGCAAATAGGATTATTTCTTGGTCTCGCACAAAATTCAACACTGTGAGGTTCACCGCATCGTACACAACGTGGTAAATGTCGACAATTTGCTGCAACATGCCAAAAACCTTGACAGCGATAACATTGTAGCACATCATCAACCAATGATTGTTGCTGGGCTGAACCTCCAAGTTCTGCGAGTTGGTTATTATTCGTGGTGTATCCGCCGCCTGCGAAGTTTTGAGATGTTGGGACTCCACTGTTACGCCACCAACGTTCAGGAATGGCGCAAAAGCGAGCCGCGCCGAAAAAATCCAAACCTTGCCGAAGTAATTGTTCATATTGACTTGAATCGAATACCTACAATATAAAAGTTTTGTAATTTTTGTGTTTATTTTTTATGTGATTTTCTTTTGTGGGTTATAATAAACAACTTAATTTATACAAACAATAACAGTAAGACGAATTTATTAAAAGAATATAAATATAAAGGAAGTATTCTTTTGTTCTCACTACTTAGATAGAACATTGAAAAAATTTCTCTGAATATTTCCAATTGTCTTATTAATAAAATAAAAAATAACTACAATAAATATTGTTTAAACTAAAAATTCATTAAGGACATAGTACAAAATGTAACATTTATATATATATAGATCTATATTCACGATTCAACGAATTATTAGATGTTAAGTTTGCAAATTTAAATAAATTATAATTGAAAATCTAATATTGAAAAAGAAATATTGAAAAGCACTGACATATTTAATATTACATTATTTATCAAATGTTGAATTGCTTAATTGCTTAATTACTGCAAAATTGCACGATTGTTATCAATTTTTCTTTAATTTTTAAAAAATCATTCGAATAATGACAATAATCATCCTTAATTATAAAATAGTTTATTGTATTTAGTGTAATATGTTTAATTTGAGAAATAGTAAGTTAATAGCAATTATGTAAATAAATAAATAAATATATATATATGAACAATTTAAAATTTAAGAATTAAAATAAGTAAAGTAATGTATATAATAGTGTCTATTAATAAAATATTAAAATTTAAAACTAAAGGATAATAATTTAATAAATAAAATTTATAAAGTACATTTTCTAAATAGTAAAAGTACGAGGATTGTTTTGTTGTTACAGGAATTTTTAAATGAAATTGTATATAATATAAAGCTATTTTAATATAATGAATACTTTTACGGTTTCTAATAAATGTTTCTATTAATTACCTCAATTCGTACGTATTGACGTAAGCGTTCAATACTTCGAGCCATAATACCTTGTCTAGTTAATGCTGAATTAAGATCTTGTAGAGGAATGGCCCATGGTACATCACGCAATAAAAGCGCCTGACGATAACGAGAGTCTCGATCACAAAATCGAGCTACCTGAAATTAAGCTTAAATGTATTCTTAATAGTCGTAATTATAAGAATTTTTAAAATTATACTTTTTTATAACAATTAGTTACACATAATTTCCACAATGCTTTTATTTTAAATTAAAATCTTAAATATGACATATTTATATGTTTACAATATTTTATATAAAATTTTGTTTTTGTAATAATAGTTTATTGTTTTTGTGATTTATATTTAATATCGAATTATATATTGATATCTTCTTAGGCATACAATATTTTATATGAAAGTTTGTTGCTATTATAGAAACAGATGTAATATAAATAAATATAGTAATTATGTGTAAATATAGCAGTAATTGCGTGACATTATTTATAAAACGATATTAGCAGGATCTATCCTCGATTAGTAAATAAAAGTTAATATAAGTTAAATAAAAAATTTATTAACAAATAATGTTTTAATTGTTGTTTCAAGATTTTAAAATTACTTCAATAAAAATAATTATTAATACTTAGATAAAATAATAGATTCAAAGTTTAGATTTGGTGAGTACATAAAATGGACAAAACCGTATTTATATTATATACAATTTATATCGTATATTAATATTTTTTGTATAATATATTAATAAAAAAAATTAAATAAGTTTCAACCTTTGGTTAATTATTCAAGACATAAGTATTTCTAATAAAAAATATTTATCTATTCAATAAATATTAGAAGATCAATTTCCGTTTTCTTGCATAATTCATTTTAAAGTAAATTATAATTTATTTCAACTTCCTGGTAGTTATAAAAACTATTTAATATATTGAATCTTAAATAACGTAATAATAGAATTACTTATTAATAATTAATTACATGACTAGTAATCTATTTATTAATATTATTAATACTGTCAATAGTATTTATTATACGCTTATATTCTTACATGCTTTTTTGATATTGCAATTTATTATATTTAAAATGAACCACCTTTTTAGTGATTATTTTTATGACGATAAACATATATTTACATTTCTTTATGCCGGTCATTGTGTTAGTTTCTTAATTACTTTTAAAAAGTAATAGTTATATGATATAAAAAATTTTATAATAATAATATTAAATTTATTTTAAAATAGCAGTCTAGTATATATTGTCATTTTATAAGTAATGTAAATTTACTTATATAGTTATAATTATATGCAGTCATATTTTATTGTTGTAAAATTGATTGTTGTATTTTTTTTTATAAACAATATTTTTAGAAAAATATAATATGATGATATTGTATATATATTTTAATTATATTTGTCAAGTTTGAATTTGTATTTTATCTTAAAGTACATTTTTATGATATATACTGAATAATGAAAAAATTTCATAAATGTGAAATAAATCGGGAATAATTTTTAAAATCATATATTAAAATAAAATTAAATTTTAACAATATAGAAACAATGACAAAAAATATTAACAAAATATATTTTTAATATAAATTTATGTACTGTGCTAAATATGAATACAAAAATAAAATCAAGTGATTAATGAATCAATAGTATGTATAAACAAATAAATACATAAACCTAATTAAATGTAATTTAATTCAAGATATGAGGATAAATATTTAGAATGTCTAATATAATAATCTAGAATGCTTAAAATTTGTTGTCATTATTAAAAAGTCTTATAAAAAAATTAGTATGAAGCTAATTTTATTAACCTTGAATAATAAAAATATATACGATAAAGGATAATGTCAGGTAATGAAAGCAAACATATTTTGAATAACGCATATTCAATTTTAATTTTATATCGATTCTGAAAACTTTTCATCTAGTTAGTTTGCAGAATTAATTATAATAAACAACATTATAACTTTACTACTAAGCAATATGCAAATTTGATGATCTTATTTTTTATATTAGCCTTCACTTAAAATGTAAATAATGAAATAAAAACATAAATTTTCCTACGAAACAGACGTTTATACAAAATTTGAAATCACATCCAAACCTGAACAGCTGCTTCGAAGATCCTTGCGAGATCCCCGCGTTGCAAGAGTTTGTCAGCATCAAACTCTCGAGCGAAACCAGCTATTAGGCCACAATGAGTTTCAGACACGTGCCAGGATCCAGTTGGTTCAACGGCACGAATTGCCTCTTCGAGAATCCCCCTAGGTAGTCCATCACATCTATAATTCTGACCTATTTCCGATTGCTGCTGCTGTTGTTGATGCTGCTGATCAAAGTCACAGGTACGGGATACATATAACCAGCATGTTAATTGCTGCTGTTGTTGAGGCTGGTCCTGGGACTTGTCTGAGCACACTGAAGAATCGACAATCGTTTTTATTCAAATAAAAAAATATTAACACATGATTATATTTTCAAGATATGATACTTTTTAAAATATTTATTTATATTATATTAATTTTATTATATATATATATATATATATATATATATATATAGTAAAATCTAAATAAAAAATGTTGAATATTCAGTTTTATTAAATTGTTTTATAATTTCAATTTTTCTATGAATTAACATTATTCAAAGAGTAAATAAATTTATGTTCAGTTATTTAATATACTGTAATAAATTTTCTGACTTCAAATTTCAATTACTCAATAAGTATTTTACATTTACTCAATTTACATTTGATAAAATTTAATGTAAGCCTATTTATTTTTTCTTATTGTATTTTTGTTATCGCTTAGTAATTATTAAATAATTATATAATATATATATTTATCATTATTACTTATTTATCGTGATACGCAATTTATTACAAAAATATCTGTAGATTCTTTGTATTTTTCTGTATATTCTATTTACTTTCCTTTTAAATGAAAGTATAAAGTTTATATAAAAATTACCTTTTTTTTGTTTTTCGTATTATGTTTAACAACATATAAATTTTACAAATTATTTATGTTAATACAACGTTATTTTTAATAAAAAAATGAATGATTATAAGTTAATAAATAGAAATATTGCGATGCAAATGAATTAAATAAAATTTTAAAAAATATAAAAAAGATATAATTAATTATTGATATAAGTTCAATAATATATATATATATATATATATATGAAATGAGCAAATATTGATTCTAGACAATTAAAAATTTACTAAAAGCCATAGTACACATAATTTAAAATTTAAACTTTTATAATGCAAAGATATCAATTAAATTGGATAAATTTAAAAGTAAAGTCCAAATGTATAAATGAAAAAAGATGAAAATATACGCTAAGTATTAGTTATAAATATAAAATCTTTTAAAATCTGGAGCTATTTAAAGAATTATTTCCCACCTTTTAGTTCGTCGGTTTCCTGATTTTCCATCCTTTAATAATGAATGATATTTTTATTTGTCTCAGGAAAGCATTTTCATCCCTCGCGGCTGCACCGAAAAGCCGCGAGTTTATTTTGACAGTTGGAAGTAACTTCCGTTGATATAATCGATTTGATTGTTTTATAATTTCATTCAATTAAATGTGTGTGGATGTACGTGTGTGTGTCTATCTATTTAATTATTTAAAACTAAAGTATCGATTTCAAATAAAAATATTTTTAAACATTATAAATTATCAACAATATATATATATATATACAGTATTCAATCATTATATGTATTTTCAAATACATTATGTTAAATACTTAATGTAATTTGTACAATATGTTATTATTTTATTTAAATCGCAAACTTTATTATTTATCTATACATTTCACTATCTAATTTCTTATTAAGTGTCTATAATTCTAAGTATTTGAAAAAGAACCATTGTTCATAAAAAAATATAAATATTTATTGGTTTATAAATAATATCTGATTATATAAAAAATATTAATTTATTAACATTTATGTATTTGACGTTAATAATATATATTAACATATATAATATAGTTTTACATCTATATGTATATATAATATATTCAATAGGAATGGATAAGTTAATATCTTGCAGATTTAACAAAAAAATTAAATATTACTTGTCAAAATTAAAAATTCATCAATTTAGTATTGGAATAATAAATATATAATAAATTAATGTATTAATGATCCATTCTAATATTAAATGATACGGTAATGTTAAAAATATATACAGTAAAAATGAGATTATTTATCAAATTATTCTTTTGGTATTATACAAATATAATTTTATAATATTAAATATAAATAATGTAAAATAAATAATGTCAATTATTATAATAGGTAAATAATTTAATAATAATAAAAATTTATAATAAATAAAATTTATTCATTATTATTATTTACTTATTTAACAAATTTATTTTACAACAATATTCATAATATGCATTTTTAAAATACATAATACATAATCAGTATATACAAATAAAATGTAATTTCTATCTAATTTTTTACTTAAAAAAATTGTAAAAAAATAAAAGTATGTTTAAGTTAAATAGACTAATAACAATTACGTGATTGTCATATACATATTAGAGTTCATGATTATTTTAACATATACAATGGCAATTCTTTATTAATTTTCGAATTAAAAATTCTAAATATCAATATTAGTGTAAAGTATTCTATTTATTCCATTTTATTTATTTGTATTAGCTTTTAATTTATTATCACGATTATGTTCAATTAAGTACTACCTCTACACCTTTCGGTATAAAAATTTTTTATAATTATATTCTCATATTAATCAAATTAAGTATCATGACGAGATTTTCTTAAACTTATTATTCATTTAGAAATCAGTTTATTGATTTGCATTTTACTTATTTTTGTTAATATTGAAAATAATAGATAACTATTATAATTAAATATATCTTTACTAATCATTTCATTAACTACATATTAATATTCATAAGTAACATTATTTTTCTACATATAGACATTCATTTTCCTCATTTATATAGGAATTTAAAAGGACAACTACTTGAGAAAATAACAAAATACTATAATATTTTTAAACAGGAATCATAAATAAATTTCTTCAAAATATAAAATTATTTTATTTCATCATTATTTTTTTTTCTTAAAAATATAAGTAATAAATACATGGAAATTTTATTTACTTTATATATTAGATTTTATTGTAATATAGCGCTTTAGGAACATTAAAAAAGTATATTAAAATAAATAAATTATAAATTATAGTTTCAAATGTTTACAAATCATTTCAGCATAATCAAATGAAATATATTAACAAAATGAAATTTTAAGGTTAAATTGAGTTATATGTATTGTAAATAAAAATTTGGAAAATGGAAATACTAAATAATACAAGTTAGCAAGAAAATGAAAAACTACTATATTATTAAGATTATGTAAACTAATTTTGTAACATTAAAGATAAAACCGAATAAAAATAAAAATTTTTAGATTAAAAATACTTATATTTTTAGTATAAAATACTTTTTTTTATACTATTAAAAATGAAAATAATATTAAAAATAAAATTAAAATGGAATCTATTTACATATAAATTATAAATCTTTTATGAACAAATTTACTATAAAAAAATCCTTTGTACAAAAATTATTTTATTATTATTCTGAAAGAAAGCTCATTATAATTTGATGATACACAAACAATTTATTGCAAGAATTCAATATTAATTATAATTAAGATCTTTTACATATTTAATAATTGATAATAATTGATTTGAAAATAATTGTGAAAAAATTAATATAATATTATAGACAAATTCAAGGTTACTTTTTATATATAAAAATGAATTAAGAAAGAATTCAAAAGTTTTACTTTTAGTCTAACGTAATTTTTGAAATTTGAATGTATAATTTTATTCCTTCATTTTACAAAAATAAAATTTATTTTAAAAATAGAAAAATATCAGTCATATTTGTTTATTTTAGATTATTTCTTTCAACAGATGCAATTTTTGAAATATTCATTAAAGCTCTCAACCATACGGTAATAATTTGTTAATGAATTTCTCTATCTACCTTAATGAAAAAGTTTATATTCCTAAATTATTTAAATTCTATTTTTAAATCATTATTCAAAAAGAAGATATTATTAATAATCTTATATTTAAACAATACATTTAAAGAATATTTTTAAAAAATGTTATTTTTACAATAATTAAAAAATTTGGTTTTATTTTCAATTGTATCTTAAAATTAAATCAATTCATTTGGTTATATTTGTTTTTATTACATGTTGGAAAAAAATAATATACAAATAAAAATTCTTTTTTTACTTTTTAATTAATATTAGCAGTAGCTTAACGTATAATTACCGTTTAATGTTTATATACAATTAACGTCAAATTTATAGTTACCGCTTAGTAATAAACTTATTGCGCATGCGCTTATCTAAGGTTATATAAAATTTATGCACTCTAATGCTCGCTATAAAAAAAACGAAGTAGAGCATGTCAGACGGAACAAGTGTGATTCTAATGATATGTGCGGTCGTACTACTATAGAGAAATTATATTAGCCATCAGATAATTAGATTGTATGCGCGCAAAGAAGTCAGAGTATACGTATTGGTTGTTACCTATCAGTTTACAGAGAGCAGCAGTAGTTGTCATTGTGTGTCGTGTTTGTGTTCATGGAGAAAAGAGTGGAACAGAGTGCGCGTATATGTATTCGTTGGTTGCTGTGTGAATGGGATTGCAGTGACTCGCTGTCGCTGCCGTCTTGCGTGTTTGTATATATAAGAAAGAAAAAGGCGTAGACAGATCTGATAAATATTAAGCCTTAAGTGCGTAAGCGCGAGCTCTAGGAAAAAAAGAGCCTCGCATGCGACAAGCTTGTGGGTTCATGTGGGTGTGTGTATATGACTTATAGCCGCGGAAAATGGCCGAAGTCCTTGATTCTAAGATTAGTACGAAGAGCCTCTATGAATTCAGCGTGTCGGCAGTTGCTGAGCAATTCCTCGCCTACAAGAAATACTTAAATTATTTACCCGAAAGTGTTCTTTTTGACGTATATTATCAGGTGATTTATATTTCATTAATTATTAATATTACTTTTGAATGACAAGTATTATCGTTAATGACGTCGCCGTCATCGTTCGGGTTGAAGCGTTGTTATAACTGGTAATCGTATGTCGCTAACATGTTGTCTCACTCACTCCTTCGTAATTGTATTTAGTGTTTGGAAGCAAGTAAAACGGGGATGGAAAATCTAACTTTCTTTTCTGTCAAACATTATATTTTGTCTAACAATGAATGTTATTTATAAATATTTGTTATTATTTAGATTTTCATACTCTTTCACATTCTGTTTTTAATATAATAATTTTATTTGATTGATCAATGGTTAATGAATTTATACAGTAAAATTAGAAATAATAGTTTAATTCTGCATTTGTCTTCATTTTATGGTAGTCGAGAGTTGGCAGTATGCACATATTTATATATATATATCAAAATGTCAAACATAACTATTATATAACCACATAATATTTATATTTTATATTTATATTATGACAAGTTGTATTTAAAATTTTGTAAGATATAGGACTATTTAAAGATTTATCCAAAATAAATACTTATTTTGAAAAACCTTTTAAAAAATTTAATTTAATAATATTTTTTCATACACCTCTTTTTTTGTATTTGCTATTTAAATTTTTGTATAATTTAATATATTTTAATTATTCTACATATATTATAAATTTAAAAACTTTATTTAACATATTTATAAATTGATTTCAAGTAATTTAAAATTAGATAATTTAGATTTAATTAAAATTTATAACCACTTTTTTTACAAAATATTTAAATGTTTTAATGTATAGCTTCTATACAAAATTTTTGTATATAGAAATTTTTATCTAAAAATGTTTCAACTTTTTAAAAATTGTACTTATTTTATAGATTTTAGTTATTTAATAAATAATAAAGTTTATAATGGATATTTTAATATTTATTTTGTATTTAACTAATTTAAATTTTTAATAAATAAATTTATAATCTTTGATTTATTAAAATTGTATTAATTATTTGCTATGAATTTGTTCATTCAATATATTATTTCTATATTTACCATTCTTATAGAAAATATACAACTTGACTATTATAATATTAAATCAGCCATACTTATATAATAAATAACAATATATTATACATTTTAATTATAATTTTAAGATAGATTTCAGTTTTTCTCAAACAGAGAGTAAATAAATGTTATAAAGGTAAATTTTTTAACTTTTTATTATTATCAGTTTTAAGATAGGATAAACATAAAATAAAAAAATTAAGGAAAATATTAAATGAGATAATTTGTTATTGACAATATATAATAATCAACTGTTTTCAAGAGTATAATTATAGATATAAAATAATAAAACCTTAATATATGGAAAGAAAAAAAGATAATTTAAAATGAATCCTTGTTTGATAATTAAATATTTATTTTCAGTTATATCAGGATAAAAAATTATGTCTTCTTGGGTTAGAATTAATAGATCTCAATAAGTTTTCACGTATGCTGAAAGTAACAAATAAACGTATTCATTTACTGAAAAGCTTCCAGGTAATTAGTTTCATATAAATATTGTCAAAAAACTAAATAATAATATTTATATAAAACTTTTAATAAATGTAAATAAATTATATTATATATAAAATTAATAAAGTAAAAATTAATTTTGCCTTTTTTGCAAAGGCTTTAATTGATCATGGAACAAAAGTTGGAAATGAATTAGCTTTTGGTTACAATATCTGCTGTCTGAGCAATAAAGAAAATTTTGATGCACAAGAAAGAATTGTTAACTTAGGTTTAAGTCTTGGAGGATTTCTAAATGATGCAGGCTGGTATTTAGAAAGTGAAAAAGTTTTACTAGCATGTAAAAATGTCTGTCTATCTGGTCCACAAAACCCTGATAGTTGGTGTCGTACTTTAGACTGTTGTCATAAGTAAGTAAATTACTAACAAATATTCAAAGATTTTTTTATATAAATGATTATTTTTTATTCTAATTTTTGATAAGATAAAAAAAATTTATAAATGTCTAATGTACTTAAATAATTATGGTCATATTTTATATACAATTATATAAATACAAGTATACTACAACTAAACTATATAAAAATATAAATTTATAAATTTACTCTTTCAGTTAAGTTTTTTTTTCAAAATAGAGTAATAATTAAAATGTATTGTAGTAAAATTAAACTACAAATGTTTGTATTTTACATAATTGTGTATTTTATGTATAATATACTTTTAAATATAAAAATTAAGATTTATATTTTCTTCAAAATTATTTTTAGTATAATGAAAAATAAAGAAATGTTAAAAATAATAAATGAGTTTCTGAAAATATATCCTTTTAAGTATCTTATCTGCATAAAATTCAGCAATAATTTTAGTAAATTCTTTTCATTTGGTCATAACCAAAATTATAGTTATAAATTATAACATTTTTTATGTTCCAAAAAACATAAATAATTATAATTCATTATAGAATATTTTTTAATTCAACAGATTGCTTCGTGCTCAATCAGCATATTGTGCTTTTAATGGGGCAGCCAAAACACACGAACTTGCCTTAAAAACAATTGAGAAACTTAAAAATATTGGGTATACAAATACAAATCATGCTGCTCTTTATGCAGAATTTGGTGTTCTTTTCTTTATTAGAAGTGAATATGATCAGGCATATAAGTAATGAAAAATAATGTATTAAAAATGATAAAAATAAAACGTTTAAAAATGATTTATGAGATATTTAATTTACAGATGGAGTGTAGAAGCATTAAAACAATTAAAACCAACTCTTCCAGGGCGCATTATTATAAATGTTTTACGTCAAGCTGCCAAATCTTGTGTAGCAAAAAGAGAATTTAAAAAAGCAGGATTATTAATTAAGCAAGCAGTATATCTTGCAAGAGAAATATTTGATACAGATCATCCAAAATACAGTGATGTGCTTATTGATTATGGCTTTTATCTCTTAAATTCAGATAGTATTGTTAATAGTGTTTCGGTTTATGAGGTAAATATTTTTATTATTAAATATTAAACATAGTTTTTATTACATCAATATTAAAAATTATACAATTTTTAGTTTGCATTAAACATAAGAAAAGCAATATTTAGTAAATATAATCTTCACATAGCGATAGCCCATGAAGATTTAGCATATGCACTTTATGTACAAGAATATAGCTCTGGAACATTTCATTTAGCAAGGTATATTGAAAGAGTAATTAACTACTGAAATATAGTTAAATTTTATATTTATATTTACTTATTCCAAGAAAATAATTATTACAATATATGTCCATTTATTATACTTTTTCATATAATTTTACTTCAGAAAAGATTTCAATAAATGACTTTGCTGTATATATGAAGTTTAAATATTTAGATTTATTAAAGACGAATGAATAAATTTATTGTATGTATTTTAATTGAATTATAGTGACCATGCTGTTAGCTAGTGTCAAAAGAGTGAAAGCCCTTATTTTAGAAGAAATTGCATTAGATAATGCACCGACGCCTGGAACAGAACAAACTTTGTTATTTAAATCTGAATCTCTTCATCTGTCTGCTTTACAATTAGCAAAAACTGCATTTGGAGAGAGAAATGTGCAAACTGCCAAACATTATGGAAATTTAGGAAGATTATACCAAAGCATGAGAAGATTTCAGGTTAATTATTATTTTACAAACTTGCTACTTTTCCCATCAATAGCTGCTAATAAACTAAATATTTTTTAGGATTCTGAAGCAATGCATCTCAAAGCTATTGAGATCAAGGAAGAATTATTAGGTCCTGATGATTACGAGGTTGGTTTAAGCATAGGACATTTAGCATCACTTTACAATTTTCACATGAATCGATATAGAGATGCTGAAGAATTATACTATCGAAGCATTCATATAAGTAAGTTTAAAAAGTTTGTAAATCAATAATATTGTAGTTGTTTAAAAACATAAATAGGAAATTGTACAAATAAATTAAATTTATATCTTGTTTATAGGTCTCAAGTTATTTGGCAGAAGTTATAGTGGCTTAGAATATGATTATAGAGGTTTGTTACATGTTTATACAAAACTGGAGGAGCATGATAAATATTTAGAATATATGGATGCATTGAATCATTGGAAAGAATTAAGGTACAAGCATGCTGAATTAGAAGAACCACCTATTGATCAAAAATGTCCACAGCCATTAGAAGATGTAATAAATATGTTCTTTTCTATGTAAAATAAGGACAAGAAAATTGGTTATTTAAAAATTAAAAAAAAAATATATTGCCAGTTGGATTACTTAAATTAGGACGTAATATCAGTCCTATATTCTAAAATTAGAGTTTTTTAAGCTATAAGTCCAATAAATAAATTGTTGAGAGATTGTCTTCACAATTGTTCTAAACATTCAAGATTTTAGTTTATTAAAATTTACAAATAAAAATATAATTTTATTTGTAATATATTATAAGTTTCATGTATATCAATAATCGATTTTGATACTCAATAAAAAGTATCATATTTATCGTTTTTAATTGTTTTGTTTGAGTTCACTTCTTTATGTGCATATAATAAAACAAAAACTAAATTATAAAGTTATATTTTCAAAATTGAACGCAAGATATGAGTGAACTATTTAAATTTAATATAATTTAAGAAAATACAAGTCATAGAAATTATTAAAAGCAAAATACATTATTTCATAATTGAAAATTTTTCATTTATAAAAATTCTGATTTATAAATATAAATTGTGTAATTTTAATAGATTAATCTAACATAAAAAAAATTTTTACACGTTTAAAGCGAATAGGTAGATTATATGGTTTTTATTATTATTTTGCTTAAATTATTTTTGAAATAGTACAATTTGATTTTATCATACTTAACATTTTTAAAATACAGAAACATTTATCCTATATACCATATACTGTAGTCTCGTTAAAAAAAATAAGTTCGTAATTGATAAAAAATTCTGAAATTGTTAACCCAAAAGGTTTGATGCTTAATGCTTAAACTTATATCTTAGATTTAATATTATTTCTATGTACATATATATATTACTTTATGAAAATATTTGTAATTTAGTATAACGCGAGGATTGGATGGCTTTCTAAAGCGTTTCACATTTATAAATGGTTTTTGTTTTGCAATCAAACCAAAATTTCATATATAAATAAATGAGTCATAACAATGTGTATGTTATTAGATAATTTTTATTAAGTTCCACTATGAAAAATGAAAATTTACTGTAATAATTAGAACTGTGATGTTAAAATGAAAATTTTTGTACATTTTAATAAATTCCACATAATAATTCTGGAATTTATAATCTTTGAATTTTTAATATAGTAAATATTTTATGTTTACTTATAATATATTGGATTTAAGTAATATTTTTGTAGTTTTGGTTCCATTCACCTGCATGGAAAAATAATTAATGCTAAAATAAAACATGCATTGAAAGGCTAATTTTTAAATAACATTAAATTTTAACACAGTATCACATTTATAAAATATTTCACAATCATTTTTTTTTATCACAACTTTGCAATGTAATGAGAATTAATCTATTAGTTTTATATTGAATTAATGTAATTATACTTTTTTTTATTAAAAATGTGAGTAATTTCAGTAATTATTTATACTCAAGAGTGAAATAACTTTAATAATAAAGAAAATATATCAGAAATGTAAAAAATAAAGTTAATGGCCTTTGATGAAACGTTGTATACCATCATATTTTTAATCTTATTACTAAAAATAATTATAAAAAATATTTAGATAGAATTTTATTGTAGAATTTTTTTAATATTTACAAAGTGCAATATTTTCACATTGTATAAAGTATTTAATTACTTTATAAAAATTTTTAGTTCAAGTGAAAAATACTTTTTATAAAAATAATTAAAAACAACATAATTAAAAACAATTATGATTTAATTTTAATGATATTGCATCTTATTTGCTATTAAGTTAATTACTTTTTTCAATTATTTATGATAATTTATGGAGGATCCCGACTAAAATATGGAGCAGTTTCTTGAACCAACAGTGTATGACATACATTACAAACTTTCGATGGTCTTTGTTTGGGTCCGCTTTTCACAACATTATTTAGGCACAAATGACAAAAAATTTGACCACAATGTCGACAGTGCATCTGCATATTTTAAAATATATTATTGTTTGAATTTCCAATGTAATTTTTAAAAATAATTATTCATTTGTAAATAATTATAACAAAATTTAATTTGGAAATTATAAAGAAAGTAATTTATTGAATATATTTTTTAATATATTATTCAGTTTTTTAATATAATAATTGAAGATATCTAATTAATAATAAAAACATTACCTTTTCTTTCTTTTTAACTAAGATAAATGATGTGTGGCATGTTGGGCATTCATCAACATCATCTTCAAACTGCCATCTAACTTCTTTTTCAGAATCTCTTATTTTTTGAAGTTGAACCTATGCAACGATTAAATGTTTAAAATTATTATATTTATTCTTAACAATTTACAAATAAATATTAAGAAAAATACCTGCAATGATTGAGTTAAGCGAACAAAGTCCTTTTGTGTTTGTTCACCTGTATTTAATTCTTGCTGTAAATTTGTTATTTGTTGTTTTAATTCTGCTATAATTAAATCTGTCTTCGATGCATTTTCAATCATGTACTGAAGTTCTAATTCTTTTTTTTTTTTCTCTTGATTAACTTGTTCTTTTTTCTTACGTAATAAATCTAGCTCATACTCAAAAGATCTGGATTTTCTTTCAGTTTCCTCTTTTGCAATAGTTGCCACAACTAACTCTTCACGAATTTTAAGTATACTGAGATGTAATTCCTCAATATTATTTGGCATATTTATATTTTCGTATTGATAATGTTCCGAGTGTTTACTATATTTACCCATCAAGTAGTCATTTTGTTGTTGAAGTCTGTAATAATTTAATGCATACCAAACTCATGTTTATCTAGAACTTAATATATCAAAAAAATATATCTTTTATAATTTCTTAATTATATTAATAAAAATCAGTATAATCAATATATTTTTCAATTTTTAATTAAAAATGGAAACATTTTGTAGGTAAGAATATAAAATATAAATGATTTTATTAAATTCAATATTTTGTACTCGTAAAGTTTCATTAAATTTGGTATTAAAATAATAAAATAATACTTAAATACTTTCTAATTACAATACATTAATTATAATTCATTTATTTATTTATAAATTTATAATTAATATTCTAATTAATCAAAATTGTTAAAAATAATCAAATGCTATCTTATATCAAATCAATCATCAAATAATCAAATAATCAAATGGATCTTATCACAAAATGAAATAACTCATTATTAATTAAAAATTTTCAACTAAGTTTCTATAGATTTTTATTTATTACTTACTCTTCCAAATGTTTTTGTACCTGATCCCTTTCTTTTGTTAACTGATATAACTTTTTTTTAATGCTCTCTTTTGTTAACTGATATTGCTGCTTTAATTCATCTATAGTTTTTTTTGCTAGCTTTACTGAAGAAGTAAGATTTATTACTTCTGCTTTAAATTCTTCTTTTTTTTCATTCCATTTTTCTTCCATTCCTTTACGAAATTCTACTTCTTTAGTTAAATCTTGTTTTTGATTATACAAAATTTGTTCAAATTCTTGTAATTTGTTTCTAAGATCTTTTGCTTCCATTTGCATTCTTTGAAGTTGAGCTTCATAATTAGTACACATATCGCAAGTATTTTCCGAAGATCCAGACATTTCTTTTATTTTGAATTGTCTATTCTGTTGGTCTTCTTTTTCTTTGCATTTTTGTAATTCATCATCTGTTGTTCTTAACTTTTCTTTTAAGGCTGTTATTTCTTCTTCTAATGGTACAACCAGTGAACGTAATACTTCAGCATCTTCATCAGCCTGAAATAAAATAAAAATTATATTTTCAATAATCCTTCATTAATTATAGAATTATTTATATATATATATATATATATATAAAATATCTAAATACATGGCGTTTATTTTTTGATGAACTATCTTCATTTTCAGAACTAAGAGATAAAGAATCAGCACCTAATTGAGATGCTACTTTCTTTGCTAATGTTTTTGTCATCGTTGTTAAGGAAATCTGAGGTCCATCTATAGATAAATTTTGCATAATTTGTAATCTTAAACTATTATTTTCTTCTTTAAGTTTACTAATTTTATTTTCTAGTTTATTCCTTGTTGTTGAAGAATCTTGTACCATCGATGCTATAATTTGTTGCAAAGACGCTATTTCATCTTCTGCTTTACGTTTCTCAAAATCAATATCATTTTGAGTTTTTATATTAATTATCACTAATTGACTTTTAATGTCATTTAATTCATCTATTAATTTTGAGTTTTCTTCCTGTAGCTTTAAATTTTCTTCTATTTTATTTTTAGCATCTTCTGTATAAAATACAAAGATTTTAATTATACTAAGTATGTACAATTTTTATTATGCATAAAGAATACATTTACAAAAGTTTTATTACCTTCTTTTTGCAAAAATAATTCTTTCAACTTTCCTCTTTGAACATCAAATTCTTCTCTAATTTGATTATTTGTTGCTTCTAAATTCCGAACTTTTTCATATACATCTATAAAATTATTAAAATTATAAATTCTAATAATAATCCTGGATATAATACAGTTACAATTTTATTAATTTATTATTGAAATTAAAACAGTATTTAATTATTTTGGATTATACATAAAAATATAAAATCTTGTATATTTGGAAAAATACATCAAATATTTTTTAAATATATGTTTAAAATATGTTTAAAAATATATTTCGGTCAATTTGAAAACCGCACTTGTTAAGAATGTGATTTTTAATTGGCTGATACAATTTAAGAGGAGTTAATCTCTAAAAAATTTATAGTATTAACATTATAAACATTCATATTAAAAATAAATCTTGATAAAGAAAGAGTATTACCTGCATTATCAGGAATAATTCCAGTTTCATCTTTGATCTCATGATTTTTATCTTCAATTATAGAATTCATGGTGGATTATTAAATATTTTTATACAAATTTTGTTTATAATTTTTATATTTATTTTTATTTTTATATTTATTTATATTTTTAATAAAAACTGTAAACACAATATAATTAAATTTTATTATTTTGATATAATGCATTTAGTATTTATTCTAGAAACAGAAAAAAATAAGAAAACTCAATATTGTACCTGTAAATTTTATACATCAGATATTGTTGTTTCTTTGAATTAATATCGATATTATGGGGTCTTCGAAAAGCAATAATCGTTCAATGAGTCATAAACTAATGCAAAAACTTTTATACACATTGGTAGTGATAAGCAAAATTACGATATATGCTTAAGTCATTCTTTCTAGTAGAAATTTCGTATGTTGTAGAATCAATGATAAGATCAGGCATTTTTATCACCCCCGTGACAATAATCCTAAGAATCTACTGTGAAAGAGTAGAATTTTTACAAGCTATGTAATTTGTTACTCGTTTGTGGCTGCGCACGCATTCTTCAAGCTTATTACAATGGTTGATGTACTAAAATATGGGTAAAAATTTTATATACGAGCTATGAACAATACACGAACTTTAAAAATAATCAAAAATTGACAAAAAATTGTTAAGATTTGATTGTGGCTTAGTGTAAGTAAGAGTGAATGATACTAATTATAACCTCACTTTATTATACCAGTTAACAAAGATATTTTTCAAAATCAAATTATCGTTCTCTAATGACATTTAATTAAATACTAATCAAGTTCCTTTCTTATACATTAAATTAATTTGTGTTCCTCTCTTTTTCATTAAGTGTAAAGTCTCGTATACTCGTATACGATTCAAATACTACACTGTCAGATATTAAATTTTTTTACAGTAATCTGCATGATCGATAATTTCTTTTACAATAAATACAAAATCAAAAAAATGGAATGTGAAAATAAAATATTGAAATATATTTAAAATGTTATATTGGTAAATAATATTATTCTTAAACTCTAACATAATTGATATAGTTAACATTATAAAATATATATTGTAAGTACACTCAAAGTATATTTAAAAAAAAAAATAGATCATTTTAATCTTAAAAATTTTATATTAATTCAGTCTATATGGAAAATTTTAATATTTTTCAAGTAACATGTGCATTAATGAATATTCTTTTCTATTATATTTATATATTTATATATTATTTATATTTTTTATTTACCAAATAAAGTATACGTTAAACTTATTAAAATCATTTTTTAATATAGCATGTACTAACTACTATTTTTAAATTGATATTATTTATTAATAAGTTAAATAAATAAAAAATAGAAAAAAATGTTTATCGATGCATGTATTATCTATAAAATATTAAAATTTTTACTATAAACTGAATAAATATAAGTTTTCTAAGTTAAAAATGATTTATATATATACATCATTTCATTTTTTTGGTTGAAAATTAAAAAATCTATACAGTACATGAATTTTTAAAAGTTTTTTTTAAAAAACGATGTTTGTTTTTTATTTAACATGCCATTTTATAATTTTGAAGTCTTTATGTATAAATAATTTTAAAAACATTAAAACTCAAAACTCTTATATATTTTAAACTTCAAATAAAAATAATTTTAGTGCTCATAATAAATGATGAAATATATTCTAATTAAATGGATATTTATTTAATATAATTTTGTTATTCATAAATGTAAATGAAAGATAAATATGTAAGATAATAAAATAATCAATAATTTATTTAAATTTTATATTCGTATTTTATAATTGTATAATAAAAAGACCAACTAGATTTTATAATAATTTTTTTTTTTGCCAATGAAAATCATTGTTACTTTCAATAATATTCAAATTATTTAAAAAGATAAATTTTAAAATAATTGGCTGTATTAATATTTCTTATAGCGGATAAAATTTTGTTTACAATGAAATTGTAAATAAAATATTGTTTCATCGGTAATTTTTACTTTAATGTATTTATATCCTTTTTTAGAACAAAATTTGTTTATACTTCAATTATTATTCAACAGCAAACAGTGATTATGTTAGATACGAGTAATGCAGTTCTTTGAAATTGTAATTTGACAAAAAATTGGTAGGCCGATGTGTGTGATCATTATCCGTTTTACAGAGCATCTCAACTATGGACTTTATCTCTATCACGCAGCTTATAAAGTTTATATATAGGTAATGTAATTGAGATCGTTCAAGTGAATTCAAAGTGAATAAATCATCATTCGGATGACAAGCAGAACGCTCGCAAAATAACTAATATAACATACTAACGTAAAGTAAAATATATCGGCAGTTCGGTGACAACGTCATCCGTTATCTGTAACGCCCATGCCGATTAATTTTCGGATGTGCTGCATATCATGTTTCTGATGAGAGGTTAGGGAATCAGTAATATGCTTACTCCCATCAGTTAAAGATGCTTATAGTTTGCTGGTGATGATCTGTTTTGAAACAGAATATATTAAAATTGATTTTCAGCCATTATTTAACACTGAACTCCGGCTTAAAGCTACTTGCTACATATCCGTTTTTTATTTTCGTCTACTTTATGTATCATGTTATATACATTTTTATATATTTTTTTTTTATTAGAGCGAAGGCAATTAATTAATAAAACAATTACAATCGATTAATTTATGGAGTTCAAAATTATAATATTACAAATATTTTTATTTCATAAATATCAATATTTTTTATTACAAATAAGAATTTTGATAAAACATTGTTATAAAAAAATTAATTAAAATTAAACACAAATAATTTTATATTTCAGTTCTCAATATACATCCTTAAATTTATCACATTATCGTGTATTTATATATTGTGTATTGATTATAGTTTTATTAAAAAGGATAATTTGCAAAATTTAAGCAATTTACATATTTTATTTCATGGATATATACTAGCTACTCATTTAAGTAATCAGTTCCAAAATTTAAGTATTAAAATAAATTAGCAATAGCCTTTTTACATATTTTTATAGTAATTCATATGATTAAATATAATAATTATAATAATTATATAAATGTATTACTTATTGTTGATTATATTTTATTATTACGTTGTATTAAGTTGTAATGTATTTGTAGTTATTTATTCATATTAAATGTCTATTAAAATATTACTTTTTAGATTAACACAAAAATAGATGGAATACTTAAATTTTTTATTAAATATTATTTAATATAATAGAAACTATATTACTGTTTATAAGTTCTTTATGTAAAGGATAAATATTATCATACTAGCTAGCATGATTGTTTTTATCTATATCACATATATAGAAGATTTTTTAAATAATACATTGTAATTTGAATTACAACATAAAATAGGAAATAAATTATAAAAATTTTAAAATAGTATCTTTAAAAGTTATTTATATAAATAAAATTAATGAGAAATCTGATTAACAAGTTTTTGTTATTGAAAATAATTAAAATATACGATTTTCATTACATTTTAATAATTTGCAATTAGTTTAAAAGGCAAACATATATCTTCTTATTTCACCATCATTTAAAATACTCAACATAAAAAGTACGTAAAAATTAAAAATAATGCAAATTAATAAAAAAATGGTTAATATACATATCAAAAAAGAAAAATAGGAAAAAAGAGACAAAATATTGATATAATAATTCCTGGTAATCACATTAATGAAATAAACGTACATAAAGTAATTAAAAGATTGATACAAAATTAATACTAAATATAATAAATAATTAGAGCAATTTATGAAATCTAACGTGTCGAAATAATGTTTTTAATACATAATCTAGAATTTCGTAAAATTTACTATATTTTTTATACGTAAGTACATAAAGTAATCACAGATCGTTATCAACAAGCAATTTTATACATAAGTATTAAAAAATGTAAATTAGGAAAATGACCAGTAAACATTCATTTATATTCTGGAAATATGCTTTTGATCGTACACACTCAATAGTTTACTTTTGCTTTTTGCTTCTACACTTGTAACGATTTTCTTTATATCTTTTCTTCTATCCAATATATGGTTACCATGTTCGGTTTTAATTTTTCCTTTTCGATATTTTTGTTTTTTCCAATTGTTCTGCAATGATGCCGCAATCTATACTTGTTATATTTACGAATAATGATTAAAACTTGGTTACGTTTAAAAATCAGATCTGTTTTTATATCAAACTGAATAACTTATATTCGGATTATTCTGATATGTATGTCAATAGTTGAAAAAGTAATAAAAAGAAATGGTATGTTTTTTAAAAAATTATCCAGTAGTTTATTTCTTGATTTTTATATTATTTAAAATTTTCATAGTAATGATATTAAAACTAATTAATGTAATGTTTTCATTTATTGATTTTACTGTTTTTGATAATGAGTAGTTTAAGCACTTCTATATTTACTATTAGCCATAAGAAATATGTTAGCCTTAATTGCCTCAACAGTCACATTAATTAATTTTCTGGGCTTATCCTCAATAGTTGAAAATGTTCTTTACTTAGTGTTTTGATATACTATTCTAGAGGCTTGTTTAAAATTTTGACAAAGGTAAAAAGCTTTCATTTTATAATTCTTCACATATTGTGCCTGTACTCGCATCGTACCCACTTTATGCTTTACACATTCTTATAATCATAAGGAAAAACATTTCCTAATTATCAGCTTCCACTTCGATTTGAATCTTCCGATTTGAAACTTCCGACCAAATTATGTTTCGGAACTAATATTTCGAAATGAAGCCATCTTAGTATTCAAATTTATTTGCATACTTTACTTTAGTAGATAACCTACCAAATTTATGATTATCTGTAGCTGTTAACTATTTCAATTACTTTTCAATTCATTTTAATTAATGTTTAGTTCTACTCTGAAATTTCTATACAATTTACAAAACTCATAATGATATGCTTATTTATTTATCTTAAATAAACAATATTTATGTCTCAATTGGAAGTTTATTAAGTCGAATATTTTCATATCATTCTAAAAGACTATTTTAATGCAC